ACAAGTGTTGCGCCTGGTTAATCTGGACATATTTGGTCTTGCTGACATGAATTGACAACAACATAAAGTTTGGTAGCAGATCCTACAGTTCGAATTTTGATAAATTTCGAGGCACAGCTCCTTGAAAAGGTTACGAGCAACAAGTCATGCGTATGCCTCTATGTTAATGTAGGCGCGTAAAATTTACGTACCTATTTTAAGAGTTGCCTGAATCGAAGCAGGGTATTCTGCAGTTAAGCCAGACTCTGTTTCACAGGAATTTGAATTAATTCAGAATAATTTTGAGTAATAAAGAAAGGAAACGCACTTTACTTACCGTGACCTTTTGTCAGCTTCAAATAATTATGTGCCAGCGACTGCGCCAACTGCGACGAGAGGAGGCCAGATACAGTGTGTATGACACATAGAATGTCATCAGGTTTACCCTTTTATGTTTATTTCGCGGCCTTCCTACATGAAGTAGCATACGATGCAGAGTTTTGAAAAGGATAGCCATACAGTAGTTGCTTCGCAAGTTTTTGACAGTTAAACTATATGGGCTTGAGATAATAGTTGGTTGGAATGGATGTTCAAGGAACCTTACGATCGTTTGGTGGTGAGTTTTCTTACCCCCAATACATAAGTTTTTGTTACATCTAAGTTCTTTGCACACCCTCAGCCTCAAGTAAATTAATTATTAACTCACAACTGTAACTGAAATTTAATCACAGGTACCGCAAGCTCACGAGTGAGAATCAGTGATTCAACGATTCTCACTCGTGAGCTTGGGGTACCTGTGATTTAATTAGCGAATCCAAGTGTGCCCATCTCCCCAGGTATATTGTATTTGTCGGGAGGTGAGGACAAAACATGGACCCCCCATTTTGGACTGGTCCATGGAACACTTATCTGGACCAGGTCCATGGACCCCATGTAGTGGACCGGGTCCATGGACAATTTTTTGTTTAAGAAGGAGTTTAAAGTAGAAATGATCGATAAACATTATGGCTGGCTTCAAGCTACAAAAATAGCACAAAAATAAGGTTTGGAGGTGTTGATAATTGATATTTACACCTGCTTACGTGATATACAAAAAGCTGAAAATGTATGCTTGCAGCCTGGCTGTATGACTCTAATGGTAACTGTTTGCTCACCTTTGTGGATATATTTTTCTTTTTGCCATTGTCTTTTTTCCTTACACAGTCAAATTGACTTTCGTTCTGGATCATTTTGTTACCTGAGAAATAGCTTCTGCAGCATGAAGAAATTTCCCCATGTGTGACAGTAGATACACAAACACACTGTCAACAAAATAAATACAGCTGTAATAAACCAGATACAGGGCTCAAAATAACTTTTTGACAGTGGCCGACCAACAAATTTTTGCTCGGTCATCTCTGGATCGGCGAAATCAATAATAAAATTGTTTTACAGTAATACCCAATTAAGACAAAAATATTGTGTACATATTCAACCTAGGCTGATCCCAGATTTTATCCACAAGATATACACCATGTACATTTGTTATTCTAGTTATTTATTTGAAAGCTGTTCACTTAACTGGTCAAAATGACTGGCCAACCTAGACCTTATCGCGCAGTATAATTATTGTCACTAAACCTATAACATTGTTGGACGCTGTTTACATGTATTTGCATCGTGTTTATTGTTCCTTTCTCCTTCTTTAATTTTTTTTGAGGGTGACATGGATCCAGTCCATTACAGGGGGACCATGGGCCCAGTCTGGACATTTAAGTGGTCCATGGACCCACTCCAAAATGGAGGATCCATGGACCCGGGGCCATGTTTTGTCCTCACCCTTTGTCAGGCATTGAAAAAGCTGCAAATGCCCCACAGTGGGGCTTAAATACAGTAGAACCCCCGTAACTGGCGAACTCTGAAGGGAAACGATAAACAGTTTGAGTCATTGAGGGTTCGAGTTAACAGGGTCAATTGCAGAATTCAATTTGCCTTATTAAAAAATGTTAGTTACTGGTTTTTCAGCACTTCAGTGTACAGTGCAGTGCAATTGTAACTTACTTCATCAGGAACAGTAACATGTAAATGTAAATGTAAATGTAATGTGTAAATGTAAATTTATGTAAATATCATATTATCCACTCCCCTTAGGGCTTTTCAGGGATAATTTACAACACTGGTTGGGGGACTTTGCCAGACTGCTTAAGGTGCAGTTCACAAGTAATGAAGGAATGAGTAATGATGCCCTCATACATGGGTGTGAAAGTGAGATAGACCACTACACTGGGCACTACATGCCCTACTCTTTATGAAGAGTGTGTGGGTTCTTTATTGTCCCACAGATTTATTACATGTGCAAGGGCGTTGTGAGACGGGGCCTATGGTTTATCTACCTTATCTGAGAAGACTATAAAGTCAAACCATTTGCAGATGTTATTACAAAGGCAGCACTTTCTCCTCAGTTATTTAAAGACCCTGAGGGTTGGTCCGGCCGGGGTTTGAACCTACGGCCTCCCACTCAGTAGACCGGAGCTTATCCCATTGAGCTAACCAGGTAGCGGTTCTACGATACATGAAAGGGTTGTCTGAACCACTTCATTGTTGCCTACAACAGCATGGCATACGATCTGTTTTGCATCAGTCAATTCCAGCAGCGACCAGCCCCCTTCCTGGGCTGACCCCCCCAGCCCCTGGGCATTAGCGTTTATTTTTTGCCTTGGATGGTAAATTCCCGGGGGCAGTGACTCTTGAGCTGTCAAATCCCCCGAGGAGGAGACGAAAGAAAGGGCAAATGCCCCATCCTCTATCAACACTGCAACAGTTTTCCCTGATCGCACAGTCGAGTAGTGCCATTTTAAGCATTTTAATGGGCAATTTTTTATTCAATTTATGTCTCCCTTTACAGTAGCGCTATTCTTATTAGGACTTCACACTGCGATGACAACAGTTTATGGTTTTTGTATCGTTATAAAATTGACTATAAAAATAAAATTGTGTGCTGTAATGCTATCTGTACTGAAAAGTTTTATAAATATGAGAGGATGTTCTTCAAATAATTTCAACAGAATTTGATTCAGTAACCATAAAATGTAGATTCACATCGAAAGCTCCCAATTTTGCTGTGTAATTCTGGCTTGATAAGCAGTGAAGAAATGCATGCATAAAATGATCGAGACAAGAAGATGCCCGAAGGCGTTCACATGGGATGTGTTGGTTTAGGAAAGAACTACTGGTATGTTGAATGGCAATGGAAAGTTGAGTAGTGTATCAACAACAAATGTGTGCAGGAGAGACGGAGATGTTCTGTTAAGTAAGGACTAATACACAAAGGAAGATGAGTTACACAAGGGTTCCTTTGCTATGCAAAACAAAAGTTACATCAATATTACCACCATATATATTAAGAGTATTGGGTAGTTCACTTAAATTTGCATTCCCTTTACTTATTTCCTCAAAAAATGCACTTCCACATTCAACAATAGCATGTGATGTATCATACTTCCAATAACTAAAGAGCTGCAAGGTTGCGCTCTAGGAAAAATTTCAGGAAGCCCTTTGGGCTCCTAAGCAATTTAACCTAAAAGATATAGATGGGCGCCCAAATAAAATTTTCAGGGAGCCCTTTGGTCTCCCGAACATTTTACCTGGGGTGCCAGGGCCTCCAAGTTGTTAGCCAAAATTAATAAATCAGTGAGCTGTTAGTTAATTATTAAAATAAAAATATTAAACAAATTATTTTCTGAACAGTCAAGCAGAATTTTGTGAATATTTTTCTCATGAAAAATCACATCCTTTGACCTCCTGAGCGTCCGATAAAAAACCCGCATGTTGTCATATGAAAGTAAGTTTTCATGCCATAAACATGGGCAACGCCACCGAATATTTCATGTTTTTAAAATGGGAAAGTAATGGTGTGTTCCTTTCGGTGAATCCAAAAATGGAATTTAGATCTAAGAACGGATTTTGTGTTCCTTTCGGCAAATCCAAATCCGGATTTTTGATCTGGTGAATCTTTTTTGAAAAAGGATTCATTGGATTTGAAATCCGAAGAATCCAAATCCAGATTAATGGATTAGTGATCTACGCTGTTCCATTCACAGTGGATCCGAAATTAGTCAGATGATCCAGCAGTATTTCCAGTTGAAGTATTCCCATAGAGGCCGTAGAGTTTTCTCGTTGCTGTCATTTGCCGCAAAACATCTGAAAACACTAGAAGATTGTTCCTGGTACATTAAAATATCCATATACTAACCATTTGTCTCTAAAGATTGCTTGAAATCAGAAATAAGTAAAAGTAACAAATGGACTGCTATCTAACTACAAACTCGCTTGTAGACGCGACAGGCACTCGATCGTGTTACATAAAAAAATCCGAGCTAGGGAACTGGATCAAACTGGCCGACATTCTTTAGATAATTTTCAATTTTACAGTCAAACCAGGTCAAGCGTTCCCGTCGCTAACAGACTAATGAATTCATTAATGGGAAAATGATTTCGTTTGTTGATTCAATAATCCATTCATAAAATGAATAATCCAACGGTCAAATTGTACCTCGATTCAATAATCAAATGTTGATTTGGTTTATGAACAAAATCTACCTGTTCTTTATTCTTGTCTGTTGTGTTCAATCGTATTTGCTTCCCTTTTCCTGCCGTTTACGATTGCGTTTTTCATTGCCTTTAATCAAAATAACAGCTAGAATAGACAGACCGCAAACGCAAAGAAACTGACAAAGGCCGAGGATCGAAATCCACCAATCACCGCACATACACTGACCTCAGTTTGACCGTCGTGTTTTCTATTAAGAGGTCAGGCCTAGGTCTGTTGCACTGATTATTGGCAGCAAACTGGCGTACATGTAACAGTTTGTTTGGGTTTGAACTTCAGAACTCGCCAGCACTCGACTCTCAGAAAAAAAGGCGGAAAAAACAAATTCTGAGGTCAACTTGTGGAAAGTGGAATTTTTCAAAAAACAGTAATCGAATCAACATTCGATTATAGAATCGAGGCTAAATATGACTATTGGATTGTTCATTTTATGAATGGATTATTGAATCAACAAACGAAATCATTTTTCCGTGAATGAATTCATTAGTTCGTTAGCGACGGGAACGCTTGACCTGGTTTGACTGTAATGCGCTTCTTTCTTTGTCTGTTTTATATGTTCCATCGTCGCTATTCGAACTCCCAACCACTAAATTCTGCACGGTATAATCGCATAATTTGTCAAAGAGTAGAAAACACGTCATTTTTTGAGAGGCTGTCATGCATATTGCACGCGTTGGCGAAAGGTTACCAAGGTTACAAATCCAATTTCGGATTTCACGTTCCTTTCGACCGCAAAATCTGGCAAATCTAGGATCAAAAATCCGTTTTTGGATTCGCCGAGAGGAACACACCCTAAGACTCTGGTCTGTTTATGTATTTTTTACAAACGTTTTTGGCTCAAAAATAAGAGCACTATTCTTTTTACTAATCATTTTTATTTAGGTTGAAAAGAAAATTCGCTTGAGATTGACTGAGATCCCGTGGGCCGTGGAGCTTTCCGGGAAAACTGCTATGATTTCAACGAAACCGCGGCTGCCCCAAAACTATTATCTCTTTTAAATAGATCATCATCTTGTTGGAATGTCATCATTTAAATGCAGAACGGAAGTATTTTCTTTCTATATTATCGGTGAATTGTTCAGGACAAATAAGCTTTTTGTGGATTTGGTAGCCAACTAGCCCTACTTTGACGGCTAAATTTAACTTCTGCGTATTTAGTTTTAGTACGTGATACGTATATTAATACGTATCATTTAAAAATGACTTGTCACAACACGAAAGACAATGCGGGACTTTATAGATTTATACCCGATTCTAAAACAATCACAATAATAGTCGTCTCTTTTCTTTTTTATACATCATATTTTACTGGAATAACAATCTTAAGTTATGTTTTAGCCTCACAGACACAGCGGTAAAAAACAGGTAAAAATATTTAATTAACATAAAAGAATGACTCCCGCGTTTATTCAGCGATTTTTTAAAATACAAAACTATTGTTTTGCATCGCCGACCGTACTTACGCCTGTCAGAGCAAAAGTAACAATCTCCTTTGAAAAACTAACTAATGAACCATTCTAATTTGAAGAAAAAATTTCAATGTTATTTTGAAAAGCTGTTAAAATCGAAAGCTGTGCAGCTTGTCATGTTAATAGTCAAAGATTATGTTACATGTGAATTCACGTGAAACGACCATTGAGCATCAATGCGTACCTGCTACCCATCTTGAAGTTTTTTGATAGACATGCTACATATTGCTACACTGATACAAGTCTACCTCAGAGTTTCTTAGCCAGCGGAGCATTCTTTTTTGGCTGCGAAGCAACCAAGCGAGCTACGACTTCGTAAGTAATAAATTCTAGACATTCTAGCTTTTTGACTGTAAATCAAGAAACCAGTAAGCTCACTTTTCCCTTCTTTGCTGACGCAGTATCTTTGATTCCGCTTGTGCAATCCAACCTGACTTCCACGTGATTCAAAGTTGCAGCCAATAAAAATCACAATTTTTTCATGACGGGCTTGGCATATGGGAAAGTTAAAAAAACAAGGCAATTTGACTCCCAAGAATACGAAAGGAATGCGCTGCCGAATTTTAAGACGCAGGCTGACTACGTCATCCCGCGTAAAAATGCCATTACAACCCTTAACAATTTTTTCCTGTCCTTGACAGATGGGCCAATTTGCTTGTTTTTCCAGTAAAGTCCTCTGTGTAGTTATATTTCGATAGGAAACCATGTGTGTGTCAAAAGCTTGGGGGTGGCCCGGGGTTGGCAAATGCCTGATCCTCTGGCAGTGCAAAATTTGCTACCCCACTCCCTGACTGACAAGGCAGGCAAATGGGGAGCTGGGCACAGCTGCAATTGACTGATGCATTATATATTAAGCATGAGATGCGTTCTTTCATCACCAGATGAAACAATGAGAAGAGAGTTGAAAATACGTTGCGCAGCAGGGTATTTTTGACGAACTTCAAGGTGTTTCATCTGGTGATGAAACACTGTGTCAAATGCTTGATATTACTTCTCAAACAAATGATTTTAGAAGGAGAAATTAAGGATGCAAAAATGAGCATTTTTTCATCTGATTTCTAAACACTCACTAAACATTAATTTGAATTGTATTTTCTTTATGAATTATTAATGAGTTTGAGAAGTCCAATACAACACTGAGATCACACTTAGTGCAACCTAATGATGCTATTAATCCACAAAAACAAGAAGGAGTAGTGTTTAAGATTCCTTGTGAATGTGGCAAAGTATACATTGGCGAAATGGGAAGGTGCATGTATGAACAAATTAAGGAGCAGTATAGGGATATATGGCTTTTACAAACTAAACTTCAGCCATTTCTGAACACGCCAAAAAGTCTGGGCATTATCTGCTCTGGGACAAGGTTAAGTTTATAATTTTGACTGAGAACCTCACTGGTACTCTCAGAGTTAAAGAGAGTATTTACATAAGACTTCACCCTAACAACATCAACAGGAACGTGGAGTTGAGATTCTCGAGGTGTGGATACCTACAATCAGACAACATGGCAACCAATCACTACCACAATGGGCTACTGAGGGAACCGTTTCCTCCTCTAATAATTCCAACAATGCTTTGGATCGAAACCCACCAACCATGAGCAGGGTTCGTGATACACCAATCACTAACATCCACGGTGGTACAAATACAGTGATTCAGGACCTTCCCAAGTGTATAAGAATTGTGCAATGTTTGTCAAGGATTAACTTTCAATGGTTTCTCTGTACTGTCATAAAGTTCCATCTTGTTAAGGAAGCTGTGCTGTACTTTTGTGCAAATGTTTCGGTCTAATCTACAGTTTATTGTGAGCTAAATGTATTGATTTATCTTTATTAATCGACTACAGTACCTATTTCAAGGACATGATCCAATACTACTATTGTCAATTCAGTCCGGTGTCCACTCAAGGTTATTAACAATAGAAATTAGCCAAATATACAATTTATAAATTTTTAGTGTCTGCATCTGTTTAATAGAGGTGTCCACTAAATAGGGGTTTGTTATAAAAGGAAATATAAGAGGTTAATTTCGGGACCCGGCTTAGTGTCCACTTAATAGAGGGTGTCCACTTAATTGGGGATCTGCTAAATAGAGGTTTCACTGTAGTTCTACTAGGTAAATCAAAACTCACCAACTGTGAGCGAGGTTTGTGATACACCAATCACTAACAACCACGGTGGTACAAATAGTTCTACTTAGTAAATCAACACAATCACCTGATGAAGACCTGTAGTGCGCAGTCAAAATGTTGCGATCAATACTTATGTAACAATTGTGATCTACAAGCGAAACCCTTTATACACATTATCCACGATGAACAATATCTTTCATGACTACAGTAACGTGATTAGGTATTTTTATGATAAAATGTGATGATCTGGTCATTCCAGAAAAAAAAAATCCACCCCTCTCCCCCAGTAATGTATGATTTCCAAGCTTAAAGACCCCCCCCCCACCCATCCACGTTTCCATTGTAGAAGAATTCTTTTAGGCACTTAGAAGTCTCAATTTTCCCTGAATTCTGTGTTTGTTGTGAAAGTTAAGATTACATTTTCACATCTTCTTAAACAGGCTTACACTTTTGGCAAATAAGCTCACATTCGAGTGAACTTCTCCCTTTTTTTCTAGACCAGGCAAAATATACAGCAATATATACTACAATAAAGCTCAAAACTAACTTTGTACTTGAATAAGAGGTTCTCTTCTTTGTCCATAAAAAACCGCCGAACAATCCCAAACAACCATGCTTACTTGTAAGGCATGTTAAGGGGTAAACCGCCCAGAAAAAACATTGACCTTTAAAAAATGTTTAATTCAAGGTAAACATCATTGTTTGCTTTACTTGAACTAAATGTGATATCTTCAAGTTATCGCACGTCCCCTCTACAAAAGTAATGAAGGCGATCCTATGGATGGAAACTTAAAATAAATGTGGTAAGAGGTCTGTAATTTGAAAGAATAATAAAATTTGAAAATGCAAAGCAACAATTGTTGAAAACGGATTGATTGAAGCGATTGAAACATCGATGAAATCAAAAGTAACTTCTCGAGGTTGTATTTTTAGGTTTAGAGCCCCCCTCCCATCTGGATTTTCAGAGCCGTTAACCCCCCTCCCCACTTCCATGAGATTTTCCAGCTGCCTTTCATTGTGGGGGTGTGAATTTTTTCTAGAACAACCCATATATTGCACCAATTAAAATAAAATTGATGTATTGTTGACCAGTGTTAGTTTTAGGGTTTTTATCAATATACAGATAGAAGAGCTAATGGGATGGCATTATTTTGAGTGGAGTTACAAGAACAAGAATTTGAGTTATCGGGGTAAATTTCAGTGAATTTGTGATCAAGGGAAATGAAATTTAGTTTGAGTTAGTTGGGAATTTGAGTTATCCAAGTTCAAGTTAACCGAGTAGAAATGACTGAAAAGTGGGGTGAAATCCAAGGGAAATTGGACTCAGTTCGAGTTAGCAGGGAGTTTGTGTTATCCGAGTTATCAGGGTTCTACTGTAGTGTGCAAATGCCCCACCCCAGGACAACAACAAAATTGCATTTTCCAGTAAAATACCAATTTTTATCAATTGACTACTTCAAGACCTTATGGTTAGAATTTGTGCTGCATCTTTATCAGTGGCAGCGTTTTTTAAATTTGGATGCCATTGATTATGTCGGCAAAGCAATTTTGTAATTTTATTGTAAAATTGTAAAATGACAATGAAATTTTACATCCAAAATATTAAGGTGGCTCCGTAATTAATACAAGAGCATTTAACTGTGACAAATTTTCCGTCATAACTTTTTGGTTTTTAACGCGATGGCTGCGAAACTTGGCAAAGAATAACAGATATCATTCGGCAATAACATAAAGTATTCCGATTTCACTGATGGTAAATATTTCTTGAGAAATTAGTGATTAAAAGGACCCTACTGTTCAAAGAAAATCGCGTCTAGTAAAAAATTTTGCTGATATTTTTTACTGAAATTTCTGGTATCGGCTTTAATTGATATAATAAATATGCCAGAGGAATTTCAGAAAAATCGTTGGAGCAGAAGTCCGTAACTAAAAGTCGCTCAAAATTCAGCTGTGAAATTGTTTTGGAATTTCACAGCTGAATTTTGACCGACTTTTAGTTACGGACTTCTGCTCCAACGATTTTTCTGAAATTCCTCTGGCATATTTATTATATCAATTAAAGCCGAATGATATCTGTTGTTAATTGCAAAGTTTCGCAGCCATCGCGTTAAAATCGAAAAAGTTATGACGGAAAATTTGTCACAGCTAAATGCTCTTGTGTTAATCACGGAGCCACCTTAAAATGATTTATTTATGACCTGGAACATGTACTAATATTTTTTTTTCCTGTATATTAGAAATGTGGTATCAGATTTTTCTTTGGTGTTTAGCGACGTCAGTATTCATCCACTGTATTTCAGCAAGTGTTGCTTTTCTTGCATTACGGAAGCATTCTCGTGGAGTGTTCTTGCCTTTGCTAGTAATCTTCATTGGTTTTCTCTATCCTGTGACTGGAGGTGTCATCACCAGTGAGTAACTGTATTTTAAGTAAATCTCAAGTTAAGGCCAATATAGAAGGACTTGGAACTCAAAAATAACAACAACAACTACAACAAGTTTATTTCAAATTAAATATAGCTTACAAAGCTTTTGCCCGCAATTAGCAAAGGCTATTCGAGGCAGGTACAAGAGAAAAAAGAAAATTGTATAAATATATATATATGTTAAACGAACAATCCTAGAAGCAATCTAGTTTGTCGTGTGGTTTATAGCCAGAGTGAGACAGGAAGGGAGACTGTACTTTATACGGAAGTACACCCTGTTACGCTTTTGAGAATTGCCCTGTAATATCAGAAACTCTAATATAGTCATCCTCTTTTTCCAGTATTTCAAAGAGTTTTCTCTTTAGTTCACTTTTGAATTGAATTTTTTAAGTGTTTTAATAAAAAGTGGGATACTGTTCCAAATTAAAGCAACAGAAATAGAGAAGGCTCGCTTCATATTTTCAGTTCTAACTTGTTCAACATAGCAATTTTCATTAGTAACAGATCTAGTACGGTAACTGTGGACAGAAGACAGTTTTGTGAACATATTCTTAATGTTATCAGGAGCGAGATTATTATGGACATCGTACATTAAAAGGCTCATTTGCTCAAATAGCAAGAACGATATCGGCAACTGTTTTGTTTCTAAAAACAATGGAACTGCATGAGTTCTTGGTTCAGCGAAGAACAGTAGCCTAAGGGCTCTCTTCTGGAGAACCAGTAGTTTATGAAGATGCATTTCAGCAGCATGACCCCACGCACACAGATACCATAACTGATATAAGGCAAAATTAAAGAGCGGTATACAGTGAGAAGTACATGACGGGGAACAAAATGTCTGAGCTTGGCGATAATTCCGATTGTTTTACTGACTTTTTGACAAACGTAATCTATATGAAATTTCCATGAAAGGTTCGAATCAATGAGTATACCAAGATATCTAATTATATAATTTTTCATTTCTAACGGTTGACTGGTATTTGAATTATTATTAACTATTTTGATATTAGGATGAAAAGGAATAGTCTTTTAGCGTGGACGAAAGATGATATACCGGTAGTTAGTTTTTTTGATATTCAAGGTTAATTTATTGACATCTAGCCACGAGAATACTTTGAAAAGTTCTTCGTTAATCTCAGTTTCAAGTTTTTTAAGATCTCTGTTTGCATAAGTTAAACTAGTATCATCGGCGAACAAGTAAAATTGAAGCTTATTTGAGGATTTATATAGATCATTTTACTCCACAAAGGGTTCAACGAGAATCAGAAATATAACCATTTACAGTCGTATACTGTCTGAGACCAATTAAGTACTACTTAAACCAATCATTCACCACCCCTCTGAAGCCATAATTTTTGAGTTTTGAGAAAAGAATATCATAATTAACCGTGTCAAAACCCTTTTTCAACTCAATAAATGAACAAAAAGTGAATTGGCCTTTATCAAAATTAGAAAGAATGTCATTTAGGATTTCTAGAGTTGCGTGCTGTGTACTGTGCCTACTGCGGAATCCATATTGTGATGAATATAATATATTATGTTTATTAACAAACTTAATAAGTCTTTTATAAACCAGCTTTCAAATATTCTGTTAAAAATTGATAACAAAGAAATTGGTCGATAGTTTCCAGGCTTAGATTCATCTCCTGATTTAAAAACTGGAACTACTTTGGCGGTTTTAAGTATAGCTGGGAAAGAGCCTGAGGATACTGAAACATTAAAGATTTGAGCTAAGGGCTGAGAGATAATATGGCTGGACAATTTCAAAATACTGACTGGGCATGAATAGAGTCCATAAGCTTTGTTATTTGGCAGCACTTTGATTTCATCTTTGACTTCTGCAGGGACAAAAGGGTCAAAGTAGAAAGAACTTTGTATTGGTGGATCTAAAAAAGTACTAAAATCATGATCTGGTGACGAGGAAGGGATACAAGAAGCCAACTTATGTCTAACAGTTGCAAAAAATGTGTTAAGAGAACTACTTATTTCCTTTGGGTTGTGTATCGTTTCCGAATTGGAGTTAACAAGGCGGTGTATTGGCTTTTTATCACTTTTTTGAAATAAAAATTTCAAGGCCTTGAAAGTCCTTGAAAATTGCAGTCGGTGCTGGAAAGTCCTGGAATTTCGGTGCTAACTTTATCCAACCCAGATTCTCAAGTACCTAATATGAAAGACCTTCAGGATAAAATTGCTCATGTTGTGGTACAACTAAAAAAGACAAGATCTCTTTTTTGCACTGAGTGGAGTCCTTGAAAAATGCGAAATGTGTCCTTGAAAGTCCTTGAAAAGTCCTTGAAGTTTTTGTTCAAAAAAGGGTACGAACTGTGTTGAGATGATATCATTTATACCTCTCCACGTTTCTTTAGAGTTGTTAATGTTTTCTTCAAAATAACGTTCATAATAATTTTTCTTGCTTTGACACGTTAGGCTAGTTATTTTGTTTTGGTATAATTGATAATATTCCCAATCAGCATTAAAAAAAGGTTATTTTTTATTCGTATTGAAGTTCTAATACCTTTGGTAATCCATGGTTTTGACAATATTTTTCCCCTGCGCTTGGAGAGAGTTTTCATTGGGGCATGCTTGTTTACCAAGCAGTTTATTTTTTTGTAAAAAGTTGTGAACGACTGGTTTGTGTCATTGTCAGAAGAATTACTCCATTCTATTTCTTGCAGTTTAGAGAGAAACCTGTTAGCATTGAAACTGGAGTAGTCACGGATTTTTTTCCTTTGTTTCGAGTAGTTCAATGGATTAGGATGACTTGCCACAATACAGACCTGAGTGAAGTGGTCCGTGGTCTCAGTTACAATGTTGCCACATATGAAGCTGTTTTCTAAATTGTTTGAAAAGATATTATCGATTAACATAGCCGAGTTTCCATAAACTCTTGTGGGCTTATCCACAGCTGGTAATGGTGAAAAGCTTTGAGTTAATTCTAGCAGTTCTTTAGAGTAAGAGTAAGATAGAAATTTTGTTATGTTCAATAATTTGTTGATGGCAGGCCTGCAATCAACCACTTTTCAGCTGTAAATGTAAAGCCTTGTGCTTGGACTTTCTCTTTGACAAAAAGCTCGTTAATTTTCTCTAAAATTTACCTGCTTAATTTGGAGACCAGTTTATACAGACAATTAACACCTTTCTGTTTCCCAAGTCACAAACTCCCATATATTGCCAACCCTGCCTTACGGACACTGGTTTTCTTATCACAATCATGTGCTAGTTGTAGACATTGTACCCTGTTCAAATTATTAGAGGTTTATATGCACGGGGCTTGTCATTTATTAACTGTGGGGGGGGGGGGAGCCATCTTGCTGAGGGATCATTTTCAAAATCTTGATTGGTCTTGGGGGGTCATTTTAATAAATTTCGTGATAGTAGTTCAAAGTAGTAACAAGCGTGAATTGAAATTGAATATAACAGCCATAAAAGTACCAAAACACTAATCTTATAGACCCGACTGTAGGTTAAGTTTGTCGTGAACTTCAGCACAATTTGTAGGTAGAATATTCATAGTTTCCACAGCAACCAGGTGGTCATGGGGGGTCATATTTAAAACAGGAAGTATAAGTTGGGGGATCAGTTTGAAAATCTACATAACTTTCTCAAAATGGCCGGTCCCCACTCACAGGTAATAAACAAGCAGCCCCTGTGGTTAAAAAAGAGAGCAACATGTTTGATTTTGATAAGCCTGTCTTTCTTCCTGTGTTTGACCTTAACGTGCTGTACCTCTTTAATTGTAAAATTTGTGCCTCCTGCTAGACAACTTTCGCTTCCTTGGTTTTTTGCTACAGTCGTTGTTTTTGAAATGACAAGTATGACTTCAGACAAAAATTTCACATCACGAAGTTCAGTTACCACTTTATAACAGCCTTTTTGAAATTGCAGAATTCAGTCAGTACCAATATTTATTTGACCTAGTAGCTGCAATATAGAGCAAAAATGGTGTGATTTAAAACAGAATTACACGATTTAGAACATGATGCGAGTTAGAACAGCTATGATTTAGAGCAATAGTGTGATTCATGAATAAATCACACGGCTGAGAGCCAATTAGATTGCAGGGATCACCAGTGATTTAAAAATGGGTATAATAACTAAGGATACCTAAATAATATGGACACCACGGCAATGTCGCCTTGGTCTCCATATTAATTCGGTTTCACTGTAGCACTATAACTGCATTTGCTGCAGGTCCCTGACAACTCAGTTCCTTCATAGAGATGTTACCATTTACATCATTATTTCTGATAGATTATGCAGATACCTGCATGATGATGCAGCTGCCTGCATCCAATGATATAATAATATTTAAGCAATAGAAAACGTTTTCCGTGTTTGCATGGCCTGATATAAACATGAGAGGGGTTGGGAGAATTCGAGACAGTTATGCAAACCCGAGACGAAGTCGAGGGTTTTGCATAACCGTCGAGAATTCTCCCAACGCCTCGAGTGTTTATATCAGGCTATGCAAACTCAGGAAATAAGTTTTCTATTGCTTTTATAAAATACACTTTCCGAGAAAAAACGCAAAACTCTTTGTATGGCTAAGACTAAAAGAGAAATTCTTACCAGTCGCAAAGTCTTGTCCACGAAGTCTTGCACGCGTAATCAGTTCTTGTTTTGCAAAAAGATGCTTTCCAAAATACGGACTTTTCTCGCTTAAAATGTCAGCTTAAGCGAAAAAAAAATTCACACACCTTCTTTGTAACGATTTTCCAAGTTTCAGCCGACGAAGGAATGGGCAAATAAAGTAAACTTGTCAAGTTTTGAACTCGGAAACATTTTCAAATTTCGTGCTTGCGTGATTAACGCGCGAAAAGCAAAGCATGTTGACGCCACAACCATGTTTACATACTCTCATGCAAACACGCCTCTCGGCCAATCAGAGCGCGCGTACTATCTTAGTTATTTTATAAATAGATTTAGCCAGGGCTAAGAGCGAAGCTCTTGATAATATTTATAGTTTGTTCAAACAAAATATAAAATAGTGTAATGCTGAAGGTGATGTTACACGAAACGATTCGCCATGATGATTTTTTGCGCAATACAACATTGCAATGTTGGAACAATGTTGCCACCATTTGTATCAGTGTCGCGAGAATGTTGCAACTAAAGATGATGTTACACGGGACGATTCGCAATGATGATTTTTTGCGCAACACAGCGTCACAATATTGGAACAATGTTGTGACCATTCAAAACAATGTTGCAACCCTGTGTTGCGCTAAAAAACTTCTCATATAACATCACCTTAAAGTTGATGTGACACGAGACGATTCGCAACGACGATTTTTAGCACAATACAGCGTTGCAACATTGTTTCGACATTGTTTTGAATGCTTGCAACATTGTTAATAAAAAAAATAATAACAATAAAATATTTATACTGCAACGCTGTGTTACGCTAAAAATCATAGTTGCGAATCGTCCCATTTAACATCACCTTAAAAACTCCCAGAAACTTCCTAGTTACACGTTTTATGGAGGAAATGTCGTACGTGTTCTCATTACCCTTTTTTTTCCACTGCCACTCACTTTCACTTTGGTGGCCGCTAGCTTTTCTTATTTTCTCACCACTGCTACAAAATTTTCATGTCGTTCATCTGCCAAAAAATGTCTCCTTTGCTTATTTCTCCCCCTCTAGCTCTCTGTAGCTCTTTTTCTCGTTAAGCTTCGCTGGCCTGTCACCTACTTTCTCTTTTTCTCTGCCTTTCTCTTTCTCTATATTCCATAAATGTGGACATGACAATTAATCTAAGCTTAATACTTTAGACAACACGGATATAGAAACAATTTCCGCTTTCTGTTTTCGTCTTTATTGACTCTTTAGCTGTCTCCGCTTTACAAGTGGCCATACGATTTCCCACCACCTCGAGTCGCATTTGGGTTGCCATACCTGTTGATTGAGTTATTTTACATTTTATGCCTGTGGTGCAGACAGACGACAGGCAGGTGGACGGGCGGACGGGTCACGTGATTACCAAAATTTCTTGGATGGGTAGATTACCACGTTTTCTTAGGTATGGGGCTACGCTCTCCCGCCCTTCGCGTTCGCGTGGAGCTCTGCTATTATTCTTTCTCAAACATACATTTACTGGACCCACTTGTAAGGCTTCGAACTCACTACAAGTTATTAGTAAGATATGCAGAATTACAGCTCACTGTGCCGGGAACATAACTGGTAACGGACATTTTACTTTGTGTTGTTGTCAATTCATGTCAGCAAGACCAATTATGTCCAGATTAACCGGGTGCAACAGTGTAAGTGTGATTCTGGGTGTCGTAAAAACCTTGCTTTTTGTGTTTGTGAACTTTTTTAACTTTCCTTTTCTAGCAATTACCTTTAAAAGAGGTTAGAAACTGTCGTTCTCTATACTCTCTTGGTTGTAGTTCCCAGTTCCAAAGTCAACACAGCTTACCTGTGTGTGTGGAGCACCAGATACGTGTGATGGCAGGATGGAAGACAAAACTCTTCCGTCACACAAATCTCGCCCTCCACGCCTGCCTTGCCCGCCTGAAAACGTAAAAAAAATAAATAATGAAATGATACGTCTGTACATGCACTGCAAAAACTCATTAATAATTCATAAAGAAAAACAAAAGATTGTTTAATGAATGTCTTTATATTTAATAAAGACACGACTAAAGTTAACGTCCACTTTTTAGGCCAAAATAAACCCAGAAAACTCGCAGTCGTATATTATCAGGTGTAAAAACTCTCAGCTTTGCCTCAAGTTTTTGAATTACCTGATAAAACACTCCTGCGAGTTTTTGGGAGCTCCATTTTTAACATCACGACTGTTCAATTACCAGAATTTAATACCATCAACTGACGATACACAACGCATTTTAACATTGATGACTATCGCACAGGTTTTTGAAACGTCAGTAAATGTCAACAACAGTCCTGCGATCAAGCTACTCAATGACTTATAAAATTTGTTTCCTTATTTTTTCTGTAGGTGCTACTGTAGCAGTAGTTTATCAAACAGCACATTTCACTATGCCACGATATGCGTCTTTCCTTTGGGGTGCTGGACAAGCTTTCATAGGATTTCTTGTGTCGTACACACGAGTGCTAGCAACATTGTGATCTTTCGAGATCTTGTCAATTGATCGAAATTCAGAAACTTACTTTTCCAGTCGTCTTGTCAAAGTCATCCTACATGACAGTGTACAGCTTAACTTCAGTCTGTGTGGCTTCAGAAGGTGATGACTTAGATTGCTGTTGGATGTCATGACTGACAACCCAATGTTTTTTCTCCTGCAGTAAGAAAGGATGAGTTAGACATTTGTCCAAACAATTTAAGCTCAATGGTAGTGACAAAAACAGTATGTCGCCTTTGTAAACTACATTTAAATCTATCACAGTTCATTTTGCAACTTATTAAATTTTTTTTTTAATAATGATAATCAATAATCATTCTATTGGCTATGTGGCTTATATTTAATAGTTTCCTTTATCATGATGTTTTTTCTTAAAATTTTTTTTGTTAATAACAAAACAACACTCACTTTTTTGGGATACGAACTTTATTCAATAAACGTTAAATTACTATTGTTATATATAGTACTGTCGGTTCCAAATAATAGCTACGAGGTGTCCAACTCACGCGACCATAATTTTTGAAAAACGGACATTTTTTTGCTGGATGAGACCTTTGTCCATGCGCATGCGTATACAATGAAAAGGCCACCGAATACTCATCTTTTAAAAAATGTTCTCCGCAGTGGACATTTTTTAGAATTAACCCATTTTCCTTTTCTGGATGTGGACGGATGAAAACGGAGATGAGGAGATGTTGAAAATACTAACGTCCAAGGAAACTATCCTTAATAGGACTTAATAATGACTTAATCTTTTAGTAACTTCTACTAGTGAACAAAAATAGGAAAGTTAGCCTTTTAAAACAAGAAATAATAACGTGACTAGTTTGAGCTAACCGGAAATTCCCAAAATTATTGAAACAGTAGTTTTCCGTCGTTTAGTTTTCTTCAGTCTAATATTGCGTTAAAAACCTTTCTGTTTATCATTAAACATTCGTTAATATGTTTGTATTTGACAGGGCGGTCTACAAATAACACTTTCTTTATTTTCAGTTTCAATAACATCAGAGAGAAATTTGCTGTGATATTTTGGGAGAGAAAGCAGTTAGAGTTCTTTGGGTTACTAGCTTTTCACTGAACGTACTCCCATGCATCTTCAGGCCGCGATTACACGATAGCTCTTTCACACTCAATTGATCGCATCTACTCTATGTTATTTGGCTAAAATGTAATCCTTTCTACTACTCGCTAGAATCTGTCAGACATATGCGCATAAAGCACTTGGAACAAAAGCAATACTTGCTAGGATAGGTAGGAGTAAAATGTTTAATCAAAGTTCAAGAATGAAAAAAATAACGAGAGTCGAGTGAGTGACTGAGTGAGTGATCTCTGCCTCCAAAGCTCATGGAAGGACTACGTCATCCATGAGTTAAAAATCAAGAGGGTCAAATTGACAACTAGACAGAGTTCAACAACCATGCCAAGTCAATAAAGAACTTGAAGGTTCATGTTAGAACATGTGACAAGGAAGCAAGGTCCACGGCGGGGACAAACTTGTCTGCCAAATAGTCGATCGTTACGAAGGACTTGATTGAAAAATTTAGGATTCAGTATATACATGAATTCTCTGTGGCCCAATCCTGAGAAAAATACCAAAAACGATTCAAAAATGCAACTTGTGGACGAGGATTTTTCGAAAACAAAGAGAGACTGAATTCGGACTACCATAAGCAAAATTTTTTTTATCATAAATACCAGTATTTTAAAAACTGAATAAATTCAGTAATTAGGAAAAAGCCGAAACTTTTCTTCAAAAAACGATTTTGTGTTGTGTTTCACAGTACAAAAAAATGAAAAGTCGAAAGTGCGAGAACCCAACCCCCCGTTTGCCCACTAGTTAAAACTGCCGTGGCACTTACCCAGTGGTATTTCAGATCATGTTGTTTCGTTATGAGCACCCTTATTAGGAACGGTACCTAACTTACACCAAAAATAGACTACGCGTAGTCCCCTTTTTTCCTCAGGGATAGTAGAGCGAGCGAAAGGCGAGCGCGCGTGAAAATCACCCCACGCGAGAAAAGCGTTTCGCGTTTCGCTCGCTTTACAGCTACTATCCCTGAGGGAAAATGGGGACTACTCGTAGTCTAACCAAAAAACGGGAGGAAAGTCTGAAATTGGGTATGGAGTCGTATACTGGATTAACTCGAAAATAGATTGAGACAGAAAATCCATGTTGTTGTTGTTGTTTTTTTTTTAAATAAGATAGGGTATCCTGCGCACCACCAATTTTCAGAGATTACGTCAATCGGAAAAAAATGTAATGCCGAGATTCCCTAGAGTTCCAACGTTTTGGCCTAGTGAAAGTAAACTCCCATTATCCTATCCCACTCCAACCTCTAAAGCCAGGGAAAAGCGCCCTGGGGACGAGGTTGATCCCACTCCGCCCTTCTCCGCCCTTATTTTAATCTCCGCCCAAGGAGAGAATGCAACCTCGTTCCCAGGTTCTCTCCGTAGGGAGGGGTAGGAGAGAACCCTGGGAACATTGTTGGGCGAGGAGGAAGTCCTAGGTCTTTTGCAGCGCATTAACTCCTAACTTTCCGGATACAGTGATGTAGTTTAGGGAGACAGGGGTTAACACTACTCTTATACAAGTTCTCGACAGTAAGGCTGCCCGACTAAGTTTAGATTCCCTCGCGTGCCTCCACTAGGCTCTTGCCGATTGTGCTAGCATAATTTTTGGCATAATCTGAGGAATTGAGCATAATTTTTGCCCTTTTTCCAAAAGTAGCACTGCTAGCATAATCCGTATATTTTCTTGTCTTAATAGCACAATTTTAGAATAATTCAAGAAAACGAAGATCTCAGCTACTAAAAACGATAGATTATTATTAACAGTTGCTTCCACTCCTATTTTTCGATTTTTTTTTACTTGTGTTGAGATACCGCGGGAGTTCGATGAAACGGAACCGGAAGTCTGTGTCTCGGTCCCAGACTCCTTAGTCTTTCTCCCAGTGCTCGTTTCAAAATGGCGGCCGCCATTTTCAAGCTATCCGCGGATAGTTATCCACCACACTATCCAGGCTTTGTGCAACCTACTTTTGTTCGCTGGATAACTATCCGCTGGATAGCAGATTTATTCGCCGTATAGGCCCAACCACCGGATAAAGTTACCCAGGTTTTGAACAACCGGGCCCAGAACGTCTGGCCAGGGTTAATAAAATACATTTTCAAACTTGTCTTGTGAGTTGTGAAGTTTGTGCACAGAATAATTTTTTAAAAACGTAGCATAATTTTGAAAAGCGAGCATAATTTGAGCATAATTTGGGCAAAAAACGAGCACTGCCACTAGCATAATATTATAATATGCCACTTTTACTAGCACAATCGGCAAATGCCTAGCCTCCACAAGCGACGCACTTGGGAGACTCCGTTGGAAACCTTTACAGCGCCGGAGGGCCGAGCACCGCGCTATTTTTACCCCCCGGGGGGACTTTGCATATGAAAGGGGTGGGGATGCTCGACGTCTCGCTTAGAGGCGTGAATTTCGGATTTTGGTATCATTTAGGGTGTTCTAGGCAAAACGCCATCATATTTAGCCGTGCGGGTCTCGTTTAGGGTTGCCCACGAAAAAATATAAAAATATATATTTGATATGTAAATTTTTAATTCGTTTTATTTACTCCATTCATACAATCCAAGTTTTCTCATTTGTTTGTGTTTTAACATGGTCTCTTTTAGGGGTCAAAAAAAGCTTGGGCCACGCCCAGATCGGTCTGCTAAAAAATAATACGTTATTTTAACAAAAAATCAAAGCCTACAAATATATTTATATATTACAATATAAAATGCGATAATAACAGGATAGATAGTATGAGTACAAAATAAAATGCTCTATAATACAGGATAGAAGTATGAATTAAAATTTAGCTTTAGATATCCTGCGCTTAAAAGCTGCTAAGGAGGGCGTTTGCCTAAAGATATGTCCCAAGGCGTTCCAAATAGTATTTGCAGCAAAGTAGAAGCGGAAGATCTACGAATATTAAGCATAGATCTAGTACTATAATTATGAAAACTACTATTAAACAAACATTGACCCGAATGCATAAAAAGATTAATATAGAAGTAAGTAAAAATCCCGGGGGGGGACTCTGCACATGAAAGGGGTGGGAATGCTCGTCGGAAATTTTGAATTAAACCCCTGAAGGTTGATGTAGACTTATAAGAGGAGCCTCTGTAAACCACTTAATCAGTAATATTGGCTTCCTCATTAAAGATTGAATTATTATTATTTTTAAGCAGGGTACCGTAAAATTCTGAAAATAAGCCCCGGGGCTTATATTTTTCAAAGGCCCTTTCTGAGGGGCTTATTTTTGGAGGGGCTTATATTCGGAGGGGCTTATTTACGGAGGGAAATTTGCGTTTTGATTGGGCTAGCCTTATAGTTGGAAGTAAATTTACCGTTTTTGCTTTGTTTTACTTTGTATTTGAGGGTAATTTTCCAAGTACAAGCCCGCGGGGGGCTTATATTTGGAGGGGCGATTTAAAGGAGGATTTTTTGCGTTACCCGTTTGGGGGGCTTATATTTGGCGGGGCTTATACATGGGGGGGATTATTTTCGGAATTTTACGGTATGTAATGCCTTAATTATAAACCGACCGAAATTTGTTTGTAATCCAAGCATACAGAAGCAATGACTATAACGTAAACAAAACTTTCAACAGGACAGCATGCTTTTTGTCCTTTTTAATTTTCTTTCTAGCGGGGAGGGGTAAGCTCCGTAGGTAAGTTAGAGCAGTGACGTCATTTGGGTTGATATCACGTGATCACACCATCGAAGACGGTCTTGAGTTGTGTTGGTGACTTTGCTGTTTTCAGTTGTATGTAGATTTTTTGTTTTTGTATATCTTTTGACAAGGATGAGATCGTAAGACGAAGGTAAGTTATCTCAAAAATATTTGTTGTTACATTTCGGTGATCTGATTTTAACAGAACTGAGTTTTAAAATTGAGTATGCGGTGGCCATGTTGTTTCGAGATCAGGTTTAGAAAACCGTGGTAAAATGTTCTTTCCGCCATAACTCGAAGGATTATCGGGCTGCTTGTGTTTCTTACTAATCGTATTATTTAGTTAGTGATTCTTAATGTGACTTTATCTACTTTGCAATATCTTAAATGATGTAATTTAGGTGAAAAGCAATTGTTCGACACGATGTTGCTTCGACAAGTTTGAAGTCAATAATTTTACTTCCTTACCGCAAAGTTTTGTAAATAAGTGACAATTGCGTTCCCTCAATATTTGATTTTGTAACTTGTGGCAAACATGCAATTGATCATCTTAACTGCAAGCTTATTGTAAGTCCTGGATGTTCTATAGTGACTGAGATGTGACTTATGGCTCTGCAACGCAAGATGGTCAATAACATACCACCCCCGGCAATTCACTCTTCACGACCTTTTAGTTGCATTTCTGGAAACGGCTCTGGTTAAACGAAGGGCTAAATTTTCCGCTTAAGTATGTCTGATTGACGCCATTAAATAATGGCAGTGCGCCACGATTAACTTTAAAAAATATACAGAAGTGTAGTTCTACCCAAAAAAAACGTGAAGCAAAGAATTCGAAATGAAACTTGACAGGTATTGTTGATAAAACTGACGTAGTATAGAAAAATTCAGTGACCTGGGAGTGTAGAGTTTAACAACTGATTTGCTTGTTTGTCCGTTTGTATGATATGTTTGTGTCAGTCAATATTTCTTTATTATGTAAGTTACCTCCCATGTCTCATCCATTGTTAGGTATAAATACAAAGGAAGCCAAATCAGTGACATGTTTTAGCAGTATAGCTGGGTTGACTATTGATGATCCTGATTTAATAGCATGTAATGGCATTTAGTTAAATGAGTAGGGTATACATGTAAAAGATTTTGCAGATCATTAGTGATTGTGACTTGATATGGGTTAGTGGCTCTGTTAATTTCGATTGGTTGTTTATGGCTGGGCTGTGCTGTAGCAACTACCAGGGGCAACTATCTGTACACAGTTAACATTATAAATGTCTGGTCCCTGTTGTGTCTTGGACAAACTGATACTTGTGTTGTCCATATAAGAATTTGTTATAGAACCGTCATGTTGGCCTACAATGTACATGTGGCTACAGACTTTTTTCACTTCAAATCAAAATAACAGCTTAGTTTTGATGGGATATCCAGAAACTAATAACTGAATGGAGCAGTCAACTTATTTCCAAATACAGTACACCTCCCTGTTTAAGGATTATTATTATTATTATTATTATGCTCCACGTTCTTAGACATGATGAATGGCATTGGCATTGACAAAAAGCAGCAACGTTATATAATCAAGAAAATGATAAATATAGCCATTAGAGCAACATATGACATCTTTTGTTGTAGAAATAGGAACTGGGATAGCCCAGACTTAATGCAATTTTGATTTTTTTTTTTTGGCTTTTGTTTTGTTTTGTTTTTGTTTTTGTTTTTTTGTTTTTTTGTTTTTTGTTTTTTTTCTTTTTAATAATCCAATCTCAAGCAGCATTTGTAAATTGCCTATACGTAGCGAGATTTACAATTGTACATTCAAAAACACAAATAAAGTTGCCATTATTATTATTATTACCATTATTATTATTATTATTATTATTATGTCGTGATCCTCTCTAGTTCTCTGGTATTTTCTGGGTATTGTCAGCCATGTGTCAGCAGCTTCCCACAGTTTAGAGACACAACACTTTCCACAAGATATGTGCAGTACCAAGGATGCCTGACAACTGTGCACTAGAGCATAATATGTTAATTCACCCAACTTCTAAGATAGGGGCCTGGGTACTACTCTGTCATCCCACATTGCTCTCGTTTAGTTTCCTTGTCATTCTGTAACAAGAATCAGCAACATTAAAGGCATGTACTTGTGAAATGGATGAACTCCTATCTATACACTACTAAGAATTTTTATTATTATTATTATTATTGTTATTATTATTATCATTATTATTATTGCTGAAAGGTTTGAGCCCGTGATTCATTTCATGAGTAGCTGAAACATGATCATTCGGGTGAACGTAGTCCTGAATAATGCTGTTGTTGTTGACAGTGACTGACATTTTGACAACCTGTGCGGTAGTCTTCTTCAGAGTCATGGCTGTACTCAAGAAAACTTTTAGGAAGGCCAGTTCTTTGAACCTGTGAAATTTAGTGTGCTTAGCATAGGATAGCTGTAAAAAAAATTTAAAGATTTCTTAGATGTCCAAGAGCTGAAGTAGGGTGCCAGGAGCCACTGGGCATTGCTAGAGCACAGCCCTGAGCAGCATGCACTGTCGTGAACACTGAGACTCTTAGTACCAAGAGACATCCAGAGGACAGGGAATGGCTTAAAAACACTGCACTGTAAAATATTACTAGAGCCCTGAAATTACCAACAATTCTCCCATTTTTATCAAAACAATAGGTCAAGCCAAGGTGAAATTATCTCAGGAAAATGTTCTTTGAGGAAAATAATTAAAATGGCCAAAATTCAGGCCATTTAGGTTAACATATACTCTACAGGGTTTTTATTTTACTGTTTCACAGTGGTCTGAGTGGTGTCATGGTTGACATTCCTACACAGCCAAATCCTGCAAGGTAATATTTAGTAAATAATGACTGATTGATTTCACTTGCATCTGTTTGGAACAAAATTGACACTAGATGTCCTATGTAAAAGTTACGTACATGTACCCGGTATATTTTAAAAACCAAATTTATATACCTTAAAGAGAGGAGTATTTCTTTTGTTTTGGTTTTAGTATCAAACTGATCCTTGTCAATGTTTGGTTTATCTTTCTGGTACTTTTTGTATCCTTACATGCACATCTCACCATTCTTCCTTTTGTGAATGTTGAGCTTTTGTTTTTATTGTTTTGTTTTTTTTTTAAGAAAGAAAAGATTGTTCTTATGTTTTCATTATTTTCATGTTGCTGGGTTGGTTCATTTATGAAATGGTCAATTTTTGTTAAGTGTGACATCAAGCACGCCAATAAGTGTGTACGAGTTCATTTGACAACTGGAGGGGTGTTTTTATTCATTCATGTCTTTGATATTTTCAATTGCCGGCTATTTCTGTTGCAGTTTCACCATTTTTTTCATTTTTTATGTGGTTTTGCAGTTTTCTTAATTGTACAGTGTCCCCCTCCATAGTTACGCTGTACTGGATGGAGTCTAGTTTTGCACTGTTTGTTATTATCTAAAAAAAGTGTATTGCATGTACATGTATGCTATGATGAAGGGGATCAAAATTAATATTGTTTGGAGAAGATACAAAATTTGCAGTTGTGAAGAGTCCCTAAGAGGATTAATGATACAAGGTCCTGTAAAATTAAGGAAAGATGCTTACATACTAAAATGCAGGAAGCAAGAGCAACTTGTTTAGTTTAGGAATGAGTTGTAAAAACCAACAATTTATTTTGCTTTACTAATAATAGTTACTGTTTTTTAACAGCCAACTTTCACAGCTTAAATTTACAAGTAAGTAGAACTGAATAACATTTGAACTTTTGAAGTAAACATACCAAAGAGTAAAATCATTTGAATTTTTATCATGTGGTTGGTTTGATGTTTCAGTGATTTTTAATGTCAGGCCATGTTTTTTCATTACCAGAATGTTAAACTTGAAAGGGACATGAAAACCTGTGCATTTGCAACTGGCTTTGTTTTTCACTAGGGCCATTTATACTAGGAAAAAATAAGATGTGTGTAATATAAGATGTGAACTGTACCATTATATGAGCATGTCTTCTCTAAGATGAAAACAGCTCGTATAAATGGTTCGCGTCTTATTTCTGTTCTTGGCTTGTTTTCATGTAAATGTTGCCCGTAACAATGGCAATCCAACATGGCACGCGTTTCAAAGTTACGGCGCCATTTTGCGATTTGTAACAGAGGCAATATTTTGAAGACCTTTTTAATGAAAATGGAGGAGTTTTCTCTTATGACAAAAACCCTCTTTTACCGCAGAATTATAAAAAAAATGCTCTCTTTTTTTTGTTGGTGTGGTTTATGTGTATAGTTCAGAAAAGACAATCAGTTCAGTGACCACACAGCACTTCAATAATCACGCAAAAAAACACACGCACGAAAGAAACAAAAAAACTGCCAGTAGCTTGCCAGTCTGCCATGGGACAAGCAAAATTTTCCCATCAATAATTAACGCATGCATACTATGCATTCGGGTCTTATGTAAGACACGAAGGTCATTTATACAGATTTTTGTCTCATCTTAGCTAAGTCGCATCTTATCTAAGAACAGGTGTTCTAAAATGAAATGTGTCTTAGCTAAGTCACATCTTATTTTAGACGAAATGTGCCGTTTATGAGACGCGTCTTATGTAAAATGTGTCTTATTTTTCCTCGTATAAATGGCCTCATCCTCGGAGACCCAGGGGCAGATAGTGGGCGCGAGGGAAAGTCTAAACAGGCGGAAGAATATGGCACGAAGAAAAGAAAAGGACGGCAAGAAGAGCCCCTGGGGACAATGTCTTACGAGACCAGTTCCAAACGGTCGCTGCCATTCTGGCTTCTGATTGGTGCCAGAAAACTTTTGTGTTTTTCTGCCCAATCAAAAGGCAGAGCTGTGGTGACCATTTGGAACTGGTCTCGTAAGACATTGTCCCCAGGGGCTCTTCTCGCCGTTCTTTACTTTTCTTCGTGCCATATTTTTCCGCCCGTTTAGACTTTTCCTCGCCCCCACTATCTGCCCCTGGGTCTCCCAGAATGAAATGGCCCCTTTGTGACCATCTTTGTTTCTAATCAAAAATTAAATATTTCCTAAACCACATGCCCTTAAGGTGGATGCAAAAGAAACAGAACTCCAAAAAGAGTCAAGTATGGTGATTTTAGTCATGAATGCATACAGAAATGAATTTTATTGAAAAGAATTTCACGAATATACTGAATGTACTGAATATCCTGTGTGATGTACTAGAATTTTAATGTTTTGTATTAATAATATGACCCTCGATTCTTTCCAGTCTTGAAAGCTTCATTAAAGGAACAGTCAGGCTGGTTTGGTAAGTGGAAAGAACCAAAAGGACTGGTAACCCCAGGCCATTCTCTTCTGTTTTTGTAGTCTGTAGAATACGTATGGCATGTTGCAGAGTCCCAGTCGATTTGATGGTTCATCTGTACAAATAATGGTTATCAGCAATGTGATTGTTGACCTCACCATTTCTTGGCACTCATGTGTGTTCAGTCAGTTGCATGGTAAGGTTTTTACCGGTCTCAACTATGTAAGTGGCCTGGCTATCACTTTTACCAATTACTAGTAATGTTTGCCACATGCAGCACTCCCTATTTTGAGTTTAATGTCAAAACAGAGACCAGAATCTATCTTTGGTAAAGTTTGTCTATCAAGCTACCTTTTAAACAGTCTGCAGTGACTAGATCAAGTAAATGATAATTTTGGGCTTACTGACTGTCATTGGGTAATTATTGTTCAGTGTTTTAACCACTCATAAACAAGGTTTGACTAAGCAAAAATTTCTTTGACCAATCAAACCACCTTCCAAAAATTATTTTGAGCACTTGACATCCTTTCACAGAGCAGACAGTAGTGACACTTAGAAAGTTTGCTGTTGTCGTGGTCTAAAGCTTGTTACTTGACTGTTGTTAGTTTGTACATGTACTTGTACATGTACTCATAAAATATGCTGATCTTTTTGTTTAGCAAAAGGGGATCCATATGTAAAACTTGTGGTTGATGGCAAACAACCTTCCAAAAAAACTGAGCCAGCCAAAAAGACATGGGAACCAGTATGGGATGAGGAGTTTACAATGTAAGTTCCACTTCATGTCAGTTTGTCATACAAAATAGTTTGAAGGCACTGCCATTGATGGTTCTTCCTGAATTGAACAAAACTACATGTTGTTCACTCTCATTCAGGGTTGGAAATTAGCCTTTACCAATAGTACCTGTTGGTCACTTAAGTGACTTCACTAAACACACATTAAAGCAATTTGTTTCAGGGAAATAATTTTAACAGAAACTGAAAGGGTGTTTCATGAATTTGCTGAAAATTGTTCATTTCTCTTGTATTATTACATGTAGATGAAGTTACACTGGAGCTTTTCGCCAGAGTTCCCCAGGGAAATAGCTCGGGTTGGGCTAGATCTGGGTTTTGATCACATTTTTGTTTTTTAGGTTTGTGGTTAATATCCTTGTTCGTGAACTGTAAATATTGAAGAATGACATAAACTGTGAAACATTTTTACCCGTTAAATAGATCCTCCACAAGTGTTCAATCTAGAAATTTGTCAAAGTGTGTCATACATTTATGTCCCGCGTGGCATTTTGAATTGGGTCATTTCATAAAATTAATGGTCTGGTTCAAACTATGATTTTGGAGTTTTTAACAACTGACATCATTGTTGGCTCATGAAGTTTTGGAGGTTGACTTAACAAACTGACTTCTCCAGCTTCATTGCCATCCTTATCCAGCCCATCTTCATGTTTTTCAGGTTCAACTGCTATTCTCTTTTGCGTAAAAAAATGAATTTAGTTTTTGTTGTCACTTCATAATGAAAGGAAAAAAAAGAACAAACTAATTCAACAAAGATCAACAAACACAGCATGAAAGATCTGCAAGGCAACGTATGCCGAACATCAAAATTTATGCGCCAATCTCTCTTGGAATTGCATGGAAATGAAATGACAGTCATTTTGCATGTTCATTTCAGGCTTGTTAGCACACTTTTTTTAAAATTTACTTTTATTGTTGCCTGATGTGTTTGAATTGCTTATATACAAACTGTCTGAAGTAACGTTTTTTTGTATCAGTATGACTCCACGATAATTTCATTTTGTGTCAAAATAGAATGTTTCGCATCAATGATGCAAAAACACGGTGTAGATTGAACACTGCTCCACATCAATTATTTTTAGCAATGGTGATTCAGCCCTTAATTTTGACACTACAACGAAGGTGTTGACTTCATTCATGCTTTAAAAAGGACTAACTGCAGTCACTGGCAAGTCAAATTACAGTCAGGACCATAAAATTGCATTTGAATATATTAGATGTAAAAACATTCATTCCTTATGTTTTGTATCTTAATTATTGGATTAACAAATGCAGAGCAATAATGGAAGAATATTAAATTTTGTACCATGTTCTTTATTTTCAGCCTTGTGACACCTTATAGTGTTTTAGAACTAGAAGTCAACAACAAATTTTCTCTCAAGAGTGATGTTCCATTAGGATCAGCAAAGATTCAGTTAAACGATGTGCTGCATACAAATCATGGAAAATGTATGTTTCTCCTTGCAAAGAAGAATTAAGAATGAAATAAATGATGCATTCTTTTTTAGTGAATGGGTATAGTATTATCTTTTTTTAGTGGCATGCCACTGTCAATGTGTTTCTTGTCGTTCGTAACACTGTTACTGTAAGGATTGTACATGAAGGACTCAAGGTTACTGTTCTCTTTTTTAGTCCTTCATGTATTTCCAAATTCTCTTGTAACTTCTCATCTGATTTAACAATAGGAGAACCCTGGCACATTTTAACTTTTGAGCAGACTAGACTAGAACAAATCAGATAAGTGAAAAACAAAAATTGCTGTTAGTTTTAGCTTTCAGAGGCTGATTTAGATGCACACATCGAAAAATCATTTAAAAATTGAAAGTGCAATTTTTTAAAAAAATGGTTTGTTTGTTAAATACATGTAGCTAGTTAAGGTGTCTTGACCCAGTTATTTTGTGAGGGTACCATCCTACTTTGAAGATCTCTGATATCCCCAACTTAACTTTGATTGTAAGTCTAACATATAGCATGGATAACATATAGATCAATCTACAATACAGCATAAAATTTTTGGCGATCGGAGTAAAATGTCACTTGGTTATATTGCCAAGCCTCTTTGGGGTCTGAGTAGAAATTCTGCTGTTGATGGCAATTTTTCGTGAAAATCGTTGGCTACATATAGTTTGCATTAGTGCCTTGCGTTGAACAGGGTTTTACCAAAAAGACCTGGCTGACTTCCGAATGCTCACCGAGATATGATAATTTTGGTACGGTGAGACAGGCAATTGTGTGATACATATAGATTTAACTGACGACTTTTAATAAATTATCATACTTCTTGTGTCTTTGCCAAAAAATCAAGAAATGCTACACAATCTCTTCTCCGTGAACTTCCTCTCTCACCTGAATAGCATTCAACACCCCGGCCATTTTCTTTAGAGTTTTCAATTCTCAGCATGATGTACACTCAGCTGGCTGGAGACGTCATGTGACGGGAATCCCTTCTATTTTCTCATACTAAATTATCATATCTCGGTGAGCATTTGGAAGCCAGCCAAGCGCGGTCATTGCACGCGTGCTGAACAATAATACTGTATCATGACAGACTAGAAACAATAGAAAACTCCCAAAGCACAAACTCAGCCAAAATGCTAAAAATCTTCAATGTTTATAAATTCAAGTTTGGTCTTATAAAAGATAATGTCACAGTTTTTCAATGACCATGAAATTCAGAATCCAGGTAGTTAGTTAATCAATTGTGGCCCTGAAAAAATTTGAAGGAAAAAAACTTCATGTTTTTAAGACAATGCTTTTTTTGTGAGAAGGACTCTTAAACGCTGTCAAACGTCAACAAATAGCTAAAACTAAAATTTCTATGTGTTTGCATTGCTTGAAATGCGCATTTACAAGGCCCTAAAGCTTTTTGCTGACTTGCAAGGACCCATCTGTTATAAAGATCCCCAAAATAAAGGGATAAATCTCATAGTTTATTAGGTATAATCGTTTAAAGTTTGCTTATCATTTTCACGTAAATTATGACCTTAATTTGGAAACCGCTGAATTTCTCACATTGGGTCTTTCTGATTTTGGTGAAACTCTGTTCAACGTAAGGCACTAACACAAACTATGTGTAGCCGAGAGATTTTCACAAAAAAATGCCGGCAACAGCAGAATTTCGACTCAGACCCCAAAGAGGCGTAGCACTATAACCACATGACATTTACTCCGATCCCCAAAAATTTTATGCTGTAAATTGTAGATTGATCTATATGTTATCCATGCTATATGTTGCACTTACCATCAAAGTAAAGGTGGGGATACCAGAGAGCTTCAAAGTAGGATGGTACCCTCACAAAATAACTGGGTCGAGTCACCTTAAATTATTTGATATAGGGTTATACGTTGTACAATGTAGGTACTAACTTATCACATCCCCTTTCATGAAAGACACCCCTTAAGTTATCCAGTAACCTAAAGCCTTGGTGTGATCAGAGTTTGCATTTACTTTTGAGGGTGCAAATAGAAGCTGTAAGGGAAGAAGGATTGATTTATTGGAGTATCTATTGAATTTCTATTTCTTTTGCAGTGAATAAACATAATTTAAAAGTGAATATTCTCCTGGACAAAAATGGCACACCATGTCAAACAGGTGTGCTGGAAGTTGTGCTTGATGGAATGAGTGTGAATATGAGACACTTTCCTCGAAGGCTACCACATCAAACACCAACGCCTGTTGCCAATGGCCCTTCTACAGCAAACACACTCCCAGTTAATGGCGGTACACCATCACGACAAACTCAACAGTTAGTATTTTCATTTACTGTCTTTTAAACTTTATATAATTACTATATGCTCTCTTAAAGGACATATAAATGGTTGTCTAATGGTTTGTAAACACTTTAAGCCACTTAACAGAAAGATGTTTGTTTATGTAATCTTGCAGAAAGCCACAAATTGGAGTAGGAATCCTTTCAACTTTTTTCTACAATGATTGTTTTGGAAAGTTTAGCAAAGAAAAATTTAATTCAATCCAGTATTGTTCAGTAGAGTTCAACAAACAGCACAGAACTAGGGTTTTAGAATATGGCAGTGCAAAGATTTGGTGTTATCAATTGAGTTGATAAGGTAGATTGACCACCACAGGGAGATAGAGAAGCTGGTGTTTTGAGCAGCAGCATCAGAGCAAATTGATTCACCAGAACACTCTTTCTGGGCCTTGTCCTCTGATGCTAAAATATCAGCTTCTGAAGTTCAGGCATGTGCAGAGTGGAAAAGTTTGAGATAGCCTTTGGGTTAAAAAGTGACACACCAGTCTCAAGTTTTACTGTATGATTGCCTTTTTTCATTATTATCTTTTTTTTCGCTAAGCGCATGCATTTACTAGGCGGGAAACATTTTGGGAAAAAACTTTAAGGAGTTTAAGATATGATGGAACGTTACTTGTGCAAGTTAGTTGTAGAAAAAAATTTGCATGGAAATTTTCTGGTCAAATTTTCATGGTTTCTTGTGATATATTTTTTTTCTGGCCTGTTGGACTCAGTAAATTGTGCTCACCAGGTTAGTGCAGGTCAGTGGTGAATGGTTTAACAGGTTAACAACATTAGTTTTTTGTGTTGGTGTATTTGATTTCACTTGACACTATACTCAGTCTCTTATGCTTACCCTTGTGCTTGTGCTGCAAGTGAAAATTGGCTTTCTACATGTTTAAGAAAATCTTTAAATTTAAATGAAAAGTGTTAACCTTTCCAACACTTTTTGGCTATGACTGTAGGTTAGAGCATACTGACTTAGGTCAGCATATTTACTTTGTCTCAGTTCCAAAAATTTACCCAGGTGTTATTGATCAAATTGATGTAAGATAAAAAACTAACCTACAAAGAATTGGACAGACTGATGAGTGACCTATAACATATCTAGGTTGAAATCCAAAACGCTGTTGTCAAATCTCTATTAGCTGGCCCTCCATTAAACAGACATCTTCTATTGAGCATACACGTTTCAAATTCACTTACATTAGTTCTGTAAATAAAGCAAATCCAGGGAAGATATGAACAACCATATGAATTTTCTGAATTTCCATGGTACATATTAAGGCATATTTTCCTACCATAAGACCATCAAACAATAAAAAAGACAGCAAAATCGACCTTCCTCTTCGCTGACGGCGGATCATTCACGAAAACAACCACGAGAGGAATAAGTGCTTTCAACTTCCGGCGTTTCCCACAGCCAATCAGATCTTGTGGCATTGTTCTAACAGCCAATCACATAAAAGCCAAAATCTGGCCGTAACAAGCACAAACGTGAGAGAGTTTGTATCAGGCCCAATTTTAGCGCTGGCTGTTAGAGAGAATGTATGAGAACCGCTAAAATTGGGCCTGATCTCAGGTTAGTTTACAAAATAAGGTAAAAAGTTTACAATTTCTTATTCTGGGACTGGGTTACAATAATGCCAAAAATAATATGTGTGTAAAATAGATAACATACTTTGTTACTAACTACTACTATTGAGCAGTTCAAAACTATACACTAACGCTTAATATCACACTATTGTTTAAAGGGTGGGCTCATATTTGAGGCTGGGGAAAAAGCTACTCGTATATCTTGCCGTACAGCACTTTGGTAGGACTGAGTTGTCAGGGAGCACGTCCAAATATCGGTAGGGAACCCGATCATGGAAAACGGACCTGATTAATTTTCCGATAGTTCGGAATTGGCACCGATCTGTAGGCACCAGTTGCCGTTTCCGATTATGATAAAAACTTTGCTGATTCAATCGAAGCCAATTGACATTCTGATGTTCATATGTGTCACGTCATATTATATTATGTTACCTGATATAAAATGAAGCGTGTCACGAAACCAAATGATGAAAGAGTCGTTTCACTCCAAAGTAATTTCTATTGACTGTACCTTTTTCCTACTGATCCATAACAAATAACAATATTGTATGTTCCTGTATGTTGTGTTTCAAGTTTGTTGATTTGATGTGTGCCTACACGTGCTTTTCGACGTTTTTCAGAGATATTTCCTTCAGTCAGTCACAAACACCACGCTACCCCATAAAATTTATTTTATGAAAATTAAAAGGAGTTACATGTGTAAATATTACGACGCAAAACACATGTTCTTTATACATAGCAAACAAAACACCATACTGAGTAGTCTGTTCTGTACTTGATACTTTCTAACAATCAATCCGAAATCATAACCAGAACTCACTTTCTCGAAACACAACTGGATGCATAGACTTGCTACAAGTAGACCTCTCAGGTTTCCTAGTGAGCAGAGCAGGAGCAAAACCATGGATAATATAAAACCACAGGATAAACTTTTACGAAAATTTGCGTCTTTCATTCAACGATCGTAAACGAAAGGTGCAATGCGATCTGAGGCAAAAAATACCTGCAACCAATTAGATTGTGGCCTTAGATTGTCTCCAGGGAATTAGCAAAAGAATTGAAAGATTCCCACGCTCATGAGTCACGGAAGACATGGAACAAAGTTTCATACAGGAGCTACCAAAGAGAGAATGGCGACTTAGCTGTTCTGTGAGCTTGATCATGGTGCCACATGAAATTGCTTTCCACTCTCAGCACTTAGGAAAATTTGCCCTTGACTCAAGGTGCTGACTTTTTGACAAAAATCAGAACCTTTTTTACCGGAGTGTTCAACCGACACAAATTGTGCATACATCCGGTAAGTTTGACTAAAGTTAATAGCGGAAAGAGAATCGATAAAGAGAAAACCAGTTGAACGCCTCCTTCAGTCACTTTTATGAGTTCATGCAACCAATAAACAACTTGCAACCTGATTCTCAGATGATGTCCTCTTCTCTCCTGTGGCAATTTAAAAAGTTAAAGTACACAACTTGGTAACAGCATTAATTTTGCATTTTGGTCATGGATTTTCTGGCTTCTTTTTATTTTTTTCGCTTAAAGTCCTAAACTGTTTATTCCTCCAAAGATTCTTATAATCATGCGTTTTGGGTTCCGGTTAGCACGGGCCCAAGCTATTTCAAAATTATCATTTTGAGATCGTACACTTGCAATGAACATTGGGCGGTCTTTCACTCAAAAGATGCTCTTTAGCGTTGTTGAATGACCTGCTGTTTCTTCTCATGCCCATTTTGTTACACAAATTTAATCTTTTCTGGTCATACTCTGTCATAGGAAATACAAGCAAAATAATGTTCGAAACCGTGACGTTAAATTTCGTTTGAAACAAGACACATTTATAAGAAAGATAAGGTTAATAATTAGAAGAAACACTTTATCTGCTGGTCTGCAACATTTAAATTGGAAATTTAACGTGTTTGTGTATCGAAAAACAGTCATTCACTCTTTTACTTTTGTTTTTGTGACGGGTTATTTGAGCTGCCAGATATTTTTGATGACCTATGTTAATTGGCCTGATAAAGAATTGAGACTCGTTGCCGATTCCGTTTCATTTGGTACGGATAATATCAGGTCCGACATTCAACAGAATCGGAAAAAATCGGTACCCAATTGATCACCATCGGTGTGACCTGATGCCGATATTTGGACGCGTTCCCTTACTAGAGCGTAAATTGTAAGGCTGGCTCTCAGCACACAAGGGAGGCAATAAGTAGTGCAGGCATGACTCTGGGTTGTCACAGATGCTATGCCACACTCTAAATCACAAGTCAATATGTCACGAAAGTGTCAGTATAGTGGGTATTGGGGAATAAGATATGTAATGCCCTTTTCTGGACTTGCTCGACCTTGTCACTGAGATAGACAGGTAGGCTGTTTGACCACAGCACACAACAGTATTTCCGAACTGAGTGTATAAATGCAAAGTAGACATTGAGGAGGTCACTAGAGGGGATCCCAGCCTGTTTCAGAACCCTAAGAATGTAAAGACACCTTGGTATCTATTTTGTTGATATTGTCATTACACTTAAGGGTGTCATACAATGTAAGCCCGAGTACTTTATTGGAGGGCACATTTTCCACAGGAAGCAGCGCGCAAAGAAAGTAGTGTCCGATAGCCCAGGGCTAGTGGATTTTGCTATCGGGCTAGTGAATTCTGTTCTTAACTTGCCCAAAGGGCAATTGAAGTTTTTTGAGGAATTCAATTTATGGAAGAACTGTGAAATCAATTCTGCTCATCAAAACGTTTTTGGGGCTTGTTGAAATGACATTTTGGCTAATATTTGCTAGCCTCAGCTTGCCCAAATGGCAAGCTGTAAAAAATGACTTTCTGTGCACCCTGGGAAGATTGTTGATAAGAAGTCGTGGAAGGTCAGGTCTGCTAGTTTGGAGAGTACAAATCGTCATCTCGTTGCACTTCTTCAAGTGTAGGTTCATCTTGTTTGCGATGAACACTGGGAGGTGATTGGTTTGCAGGGAAGATGTAACACCCACTGTGACAACCTCTGATATTGTAAGGTCGTCAGCATACTTCCAGTGACTGGAGCTTAGGGGACATTGACTGCTAGATCGTTGATCATAATTGAACTGAATAGGCCTTTTGCATTAGTTGATCACATGATCAACTTTCAGTAAACATGAAAACAGTTCACTTTCGAAAAATGTTGTTAGTACGATTTGAAAGAGCATATTAAAATTAGGTAGCCTGTAAATTTTCAGCTGTATATCTTAAAAGTAGCGATTGCAACAGCCACAGAGTAGATCCTGAGAAACTATCTTTGAAAAACTCAAAACTTTACAAAGGAACGTATGGGCTCACAATTTCGCAGTTTTCGATGGCTGCTGTTCCGATCCTTTGTTGTTGCTTGCAAAGTGCTGAAAATTGCTCAAAATTAACCAACTCTTTTCAACTTTTGAATTTAATTTGTGCATACAGTGATGTCTTCTTTGGGTTAACTGGTATGCTAATGAGCAAAAATGTAAACAATTTTGTCAGCAAAGATTTGCCTATTGCTTTAACAAATATCAACAGTCTTTACTGCTGGTGACAGATATATGTTGTTTCACTTTGAACCATAAAGTGATCATGTATCATATTGTATCCCCTTAATTTTGGAATCTAGTTCCATTTTGCCATGTTAAATAACATCCTAAATTTTAGAACAATTTTATGCCGGGTTTTTTGACAGTTTTTTAAAGTAGTGGCCATATTTCTGAAAACACTGGATGCTACCAGACGCCAATTTATTTGAATTTATCATTTAGCGTACTGCAGGCATTTTTCTAAGGCTTGAAAAATCTGTAATTCTGTGATGTGCATTTCACTTGTCTCTTGTGAGTTGAAGAACTCCAAATTCAAATAATTATTGGCTTCAAAGTACCGGACATAGAATGGTAAATGACCAGACGAAACATTTGGCCTCTGGCTTCAAACGAAACCCCTGACTTTTATGAATCAGTCACCTCCTTACCTGGCTATTTCCCAAGAATGAGTGACCGCAAGGTTTGGATGTAGTTTGTTGAGTTAACAGAATTAAATGTAGTTTACAATTCTAATTACAACCAGACTTATTTTCCTAGAGTTTTATGGTCAAGGTGTACATGTATTTGTACTCCAGAAAACCAGTTTTCTACAATTGTTACATATTCAAGAAAATGTATACTCTTCTTAATTGTAAATATAAATCTAAAATACAGTAAAATTCTTATGCTTGATGATTCTACTTGCGTTTTTGTTCAGGAGAACAAATGATGGTGGTGATGTACAGAGGCGACATCCCAGACAGTCATCTGCTCGGCAGAGACCAGTTAGCACTGGAGCTTTAGGAACAGCTACTGTAAATACTCCTCAGAGTTCATCCCAAGGAAATAACACCAGAAATAGTGTAACAACATCTACCCCACCTGCTTCTCATCCACCACACCCCCAAACACAATCGGCTCAACCAGGTACAGTCTTTTAAGGAGTCTTTTTGCTGTGCTGTAAAATGATAATCTTTTAAAACCCTTGATTTTTAGCTCACATTTATATCATTAACTTATTCTGTGGGCATTCTGAAGATGATGATGTTATTCACATTAAGTGTTTCTGCACTTGTATAAATTATGCATACAACCTTATGAAAAATTATCATTGAATTTTCACATCTAAAAAAATCAAAGAAAGTTGTACTTTACTGTAATTTGAACCGTGTATTCATTATTGACTAGTTTGAACTTAAGCCACAAGGCAATGCCAAGAATGATCCTCCCTGTACATGTAAGTGATGTCAAGATAATTGTTAACAATGTAACAGAAGATTGTTCTTTTTTCACAGGAAATAATTTGAATGCATCACCATCAGCAAGGCAAAGACAAGGAAATGAGGAACCACTGCCTCCAGGGTCAGTCAACACTGTTTGTAGTATCAAATCACTCCCATAACTATCAAGTGCTCTCATATTTATTCAAAAAAAAAAATGACACATACATTGTAAAAAAAAACCCTCTTTTATTAACTGTTTGTTTTCTTAGGTGGGAGCAGCGTGTAGACCCTCACAGCAGAATTTACTATGTTGATCACAATACACGTACAACTGCATGGGAAAGACCTCAACCCTTACCACCAGGGTAAGTCGAATAAAGAACTGCTGATGATGAAGCTTTTGAGGCATGCAACAGGGGCAGTTGGTAATGTGGTATACCAACCAGTTATAGTTCGTACCTTTATAAACTAGTTGTGTTCGTTTAAAAGCATTTGTGACCTCTCACGGGGAAACATACCTAACAGCTTTCCGTTTTCAAATGGCTGTCTGTTTACAAGCCGTTTGTCAACCATTGTGTAGTTCCAGAAAATATCCAGACCCCCACCACGGAGGGAATTTTATTTACGACCCCCCCACCTCCCTGGATTTTCCATTTTTGCAGGGAACTGATGGCCCCCCCACCCCTCTGGAATTTCCACAAGTATGACAAAGACCCCCCAACCCCTCTGGAAAAGTCATTTTCACAAAGAAAGACTATTACCATAGGGGAAATTGAAGCCATTTATGGTAGTACGCAACCATTTCCGTCAGAAGCTTGTATGCTTCTGTTTCCATCTATTTGAGCGATCTCGCAACATTAAAACACACTATACGCCACAGTAAAAAAAATCTGCAATTTTTGCTCATCCTTTACTTTAAATGAAACAGATAAAGTTAATAAGTTCCTTTTCATTTTCCCTTAATTTTGTGGTTGAAGGTGTGGCATGTTCGTGATCAAAATCTTGCTAAAATGGTGTCGATTTCACCAAACATTACGGCCATCGCGAATCACGTCGCATTAGTCGATCGAAAAACAGTGTAAAATGGTTCTAAAATGGTTCTAAAATGGTTACAATGTATAGCTTGTGCTTCGTGAAGCAAAATTGCGACTCTACTGTTCTTCAATTGATCGATCGACTGACGGATCGTGATGTGTTGCACGTGTTGATGTCTTGAGGGAGACTGGTAACGAGTAATGGCGGCCGAATATACGAGCATGCGATAAAACGAGTTCTACTCGGTCTAGTTCCTTTGAAATTGCATCCAGAACGCTTTTGGAAGAAAGGAAATTTGGTTAAGATCAAAAGAAACAATCTTAAATGATATATTTCAAGTTATTTATGTCCTAAAAATGATCTACCAGGTCGGTAAGATGCAATGGTCGAACTAAGGTCGAAAACGAAATGATATTGACCCCCTAGCCTGGAAAGTAATTTGATTGTCGAACCCCCCTCCCCTCTGGAATTTCCTGGGTCTCTGACCCCCCCACCCCCTTAGAATTTCCAATTCCCTCCGTGGTGGGAGTCTGGATATTTTCTGGAACCACACATTCTAACAAAAGGCAACAAAGGCTTGATCACCCATTTGCTTGAAACATCAACTCGTTCAAACGGCTTTGTCACCTGTTCGTTGGAAACATCAACCCATTTGAACTACTTGGTCACCCGTTTGTTGAAGGCATCAGGTTGAACGAACAACCTGGTCACCCGTTTGTTGAAGACATCAGGCCATTTGAACGGCTTGGTCATCCGTATACTATCATGGCATCCCTTCAAATTTTCTGTCAAATGACATGGAAGACGAGTAACGCCATCTGTTCAAAATATTTCACTTGTTCAAGTGGTCAGTTAATTCAATGTTTTAAGAAATCTGTTTGACTTCATTGGCACAAGTTTGTAGGCTTTAAACTCTTTTTTGGCCTTATTAAAACAACTTGCTTACACTAGCGATCAATTCCTTATCAGACAAAAAATTGAAGCTAAAGATATCCTATGTAAACAAACATTTCAAAAGAAACCCTCCAAACACTTTTGCTTTCCGCATGTTCGTCAGTTTTTTGCTCACGGTAGCACAAATCAACAGAGGAAGGAAATACTGTGGGTAATAACAAGAACGTCAGATTCTAGTAGTTGTGCGCGAGCAGGACTTGGGATATAGTTTTTTTTGGCAGACAATTTTTTTTTTGAGAGTTGGAAACAACTTGAGAATGAAGAGAAAAAGTTCCACATTACTCATTTTTAATTTGTTTGCATTGAAACAAATTCCTGGCGGGTCAAATTTCAAGCAAAATTATCATCTTGTTTTTAAAAAGCTTTCAACAGAATCGGGGTTTTCCTGATGTAGTTTTGAAAAAATTACAATCTCAAATAGAGATGCGTGTTAGCAAACAGTTGTTATTGTCGATATGATGCAATAGAAGTTTCATTCCAGGAAAAAGTGAATGGCTTGCTGTGAGAGATTGTCAGGCTAAGCTGTTTAGTTGTTTGGGGAACCCGTTTGGAAATTTTGATGAGTTGTTCGAACGGGTAAGTAAGCCGTTCCCCCGTTCATGTTAGCGGTTCGAAAAACCTAATAACCTGTTCAGTCATTTGAGGAACCCGTTTGAAGGGGTGAGTGAGCCATTAGCTTGTTCATGTTAGCTGTTTGAAAAAAATGGCTACATTTTTACCTGTTCAGCCATTCAATGAACCTGTTCGAACAGGTGAATGAGCTGTTTGCAACCCGTTCAGAAGCCGTGTTTCACCCATTTATTGGGAGGCCCTTAGGTATGTCTTCCTGTGAGAGGTCACATTTGCTTTGGATTGAATGATTGAAAGCTTTTTAAATAGCTGAGTATGATCTGGTCAGCTGTCTTTTCCTCTTGCCCAGAGACCCAAAATCTGAAAATGTGCTGTGTAAAGATTTGGTTCTGTGAGTTAACATCTCACAGCAATTGATTGCAAGGAACTATTATAAAACTACAGTGTATTATGGCTATTAAACACAAGAAGCTCATTAAAACATAATTTTTTTTAGGTGGGAAAGGAGAACGGACTCAAGGGGAAGAACTTATTATGTAGATCACAACACAAGAACTACAACATGGCAACGGCCAACTGCAGAAACAGTTAGAAACTATGAAAACTGGCAAATGCAGCATCGAGCTCTCATTAACACAGAGCGTCAGAACTTCCAACAGAGATTTCTTATCCCAGTTAGTAGTGGTATTGTGGTTAAAATGGATTTAGATTGCTGACGCAAATATTTTTTTCTGTATATTTGTTGTCGTTGTTGTTGTTGTTGTTGTTGACATACTGCTTTGTTATTTTCAGTGAAGCAAAGTTTTCTTGGCCATTTTTAAATAATATTATAGCTAGTACAAGGTGAACTTCTGTTCTCTGTGGCATCCAGGAACTTGCCATTCCCAGCCGACAAGCTTTCTTAAATTGGTTGGGTAAAAAGGCAATATGTCAGAGGGTGATGGTGCAATGTTACATGTATCTACCAATGTTGACTGCTTGCTGTGATCTGGTTTCATAAAATTGTACTTCTTGAAGTTTTTCTTCTAGGGCTATTAGTAGTGGTAACAGGATTGAGTGGAGTCCAATTCAGTTTGTAGTCATACTCATGATTAACAAAATGGAATGGGTGACCGTTTAGCGGGAGTCCGATTAGTTTAATCATGAGTGTGATTACAGACTAAATTGGATGACACAAAGTTCTGTTATCAATTAATCATAACTTTAACAAAATTTTTGATATACAAGGCTCTTTTTTTAAAATCAAAACACAAGAAATTCTGCCAAGATTTGTTTTCTTGCTAGTGGTGAAAAAAGTTATTTAAGCACGTGCGTCATAGCACGTCCTGTCCAATTACTTAGGCATGATGCATACTGTCGTATTAAACTTTCCTATTAAGGCTGAAGTCAGGGCAGTTGATAGCCAAAAAGTTCGTTCCTCCACTTTATAAGTCGGTATTTCAGTATGATTGGACTTGGTAAGGAAATCATTTCAACAAAAGTTGTGTCTTTCAATATAATTCACTATTTTCATACTTGTTGTGCCATCTTTTGACTGGAATATTCGATTTGTGTACTTCCACGCCAAAGGTGCGCGTGCGCGAGTATATTTTCCAGCCACATATTTTTTGTATTTCATAGCCCGAATTGCTCTAACTCCTTCCTTGCTTCACGAAAGATAAACCCCCTTAACGCAAAAACATTCCGCTGCGTGAGAGCAGAACCCTGTATACTCCGATTTACTGGCTTATCTGTTGTAGAAATTGCTAAAAAACTGGAAAAATTCGAATTTTGGGTGGTAGAATGATCATGGAGAAATGAAGGTTTTGAAGGCAAGAAACTAAGGGGAAGACCAAAAGCCCTGAATAAAGCAGCTAAAATAGTTTTAACAAGGGCTAGATACAAAATAGGAGACTTGACAAGGAAGCTCGGTCTCACATAGTTAGCAAGCCAAATAAAAGGGTCGTGAAAAGCTGTTTAAAATGTTTAAAATTAGAGGCCCCTGAGATGGCAAAAAAACCTTCGCTTAGTCTGCCAATCAATGCCCAGCTCGTCATTTGTAAAGAAGTACAAATGCCTTGCTGTGGAAGTGGGCTGGGATGATTATCTTTTTTGGTTGAATGCCCAAAATATATTTTTTCAGCTGCCTAAACTAAACAAATTTTGTTTGGGGGTTGAACTGGATCCTGCGCACCGGGTGATAAAAAGGCTCAAAATGGATCATTTGTGGGTCTACACGCTGTATCCCAATTCATGCCTCAACGGCTACAGAATGTGATAACAAAACAAAAAGGGCATGTCAGTTACTGAAATTCTGAATACATGTACTTGATCATGATAGAAAAATAAACATCTTCTGGCAATTTCATGTAAAAATATAGTTTTGATCAAAAGTTATAGTGCATGAAATCAGAGGAACGAACTTTTGGGACACCCTGTATAGCAAATCATGTAATGAGAAACTAGTTAATTTTGTTTCCTGGAGAATCTCAGTGTTTCCCTCAGCCCCAGGAAACTCTGAGATTCTTGGAGAACAAAATTAACTGTTTCTGTTGGGACTAGTTGTTAAATTGCCACTAATTGAAACAAAACTGAATTTTGCACAGAGAAATGCAAAAGAGACAAGATTTAATACTGTCAGATCAAACTAGCATACAAAGGAACGTTAAAGACAAAACAATTGTTGTATAAACAATCTGATGCAAAAAGGTTAAGATAAGGAAAGCAAGGGGGGTCAAGCAAGCAAATCACAACTAAAGAAACTTCTAGTCATTCAGAAACGCGCTCTTCGCTTTATTCGTTTTGCTAAACCGCTTGATCATGCCATTCCTCTCTTTATCAATGCAAAGATATTACCAATTAACTTTCTCCATTATCAGCTACTAGCAGAAACAATGTCTGATGTGAGCAACAACTTAGTACCTACAAACATTCAGGAATTGTTCCGTGTACATTCATACAGCACTAGGTTGTCAACATCTCAAAACTGTTATATAAAAAAATCGAATCTTGAAATCCAAAAAAACTCTTTCTAGTGAGTTGGTGCCAAGTCTTTGAATGAGATACCGACCAAGTTGCACACATTTTCCAAACACAAATTCAAATTTAATATTCATGCATCATTGCTTCATATATTGGAGACTGGGGATACTTATTATGAAATAGATGAAATTATTCTTAAAATGAAGAAAGCAGAACCAATTTTTTTGTAATTCTACCTATAAGAACAGTGAGCTAATGTTTTGTTTTCCTTTGATCCTTGGAGTTTTAAATGCATCTTTTTCATATGTTTTTCTTTGTAAGATTATAATTTTTGCAATTAGTCCGCTCCATATTTTTTTGAAAACTGATGAATCTCTCTTGCTTTCTCCTTTTTTTTTCTTTACCTTAATTTACTTGCAGTTATTTTCTTTTTGTATCATTCCTGGCCTGCCTAGACTAGCTACAGCTATTTGCGGTGCCAGGACACTTGTAAAAATATTCTTTAGAAAATTTATAATAAAGTCTTGGAGTCTTGAAGTCTTGGAAAGAAAAAGAAATAGTTCCATACCATTCAGCTACAAATTTAGAGTAAGGTTGTGTCTCTTTGCACAAGTGGTAAATTTCATGTTACAATGTTTCAATTTTTGGCAAGGATATTTCTACTTCATATTTTGAGTTGTTACAGTATACATTTCAGTTTCTTTTTGCAGGTTAGGGTTAACCTTGTTTGGGTCATTATTTATCAAGAACACTGTTTTTTTTTTTATTAATAAAACATTTTTTTAGCAATGTATTATTTTGTGATTCATATTGGTGAAGTAAGATTGCATTGCTTTAGCAGACTGCTGGTGCACCAGCAGAGGCAGATCCCCTTGGACCTCTACCAGCTGGCTGGGGTAAGTACTCTTTTTGCCTATGATAATATTGTGTAGTGCCAGAAAAATATCCATACCACCCCCATGAAAGGGATTTACCCCATGTCCCCTCTCCCTCTGGATCTTATAAAAGCAGCCCAAAAGTTTACGCCTGCTACCCTCTGGAATTTCCAAAATTTTGGCATACCACCTGGAAATATTCCCATTTGTAAAAGCAGTGCTTTTACAAAGATGCCAAATTTCATGTATTTTCTGTAAGCACATACAACAGATCAGCAATAATAGTAATTCCTAGTGTGACAAGGTGAACAAATTGTTCAAATCAAAACAAGTACTGGTAATGCTCTGAGTTGTGAGTCTCCAATTTCATTTTGGTTTTGTCATGCAAATTGTACAAAGTTTGGGCTTGCATGTTTGATGATGGAAAGATTCATGATACAGATAACTTCTTGAGATTAAAAAAAATTCAAGTGCAGAGAAGAGGTAACTAATAGAATTAGTATTTTTTTAGGGAAGATCAGACTTGGCAGACTTCATTCACATGGCAGGCAACAAAAAATGTTCTTGGGAATCATAGCCTGAGAAAACAGCTGACATTTGGTGACTCTACCACTAAGTAGTTTCCCCGTCAAATGACATCTGAGAAATGAATGTGGTAATTCCATACTGATGACACGCCACTACCCAGATCTGGGTAGTGCTTCTGATTGGTCATGCCGCGTGGGAAATTTGATTCAACCAATCAGAGGCACTACCCAGAGCTGGGTAGTGATGCATCATCAGTATAGAATTTCTGCGCTCACTTCTCAGACTTCATTTGGCGGGGAAACCAGTGCTGGAGTCGCCAAATGTCGGCTGTTTTCTCAGGCCACGGGAATCAACGTTCATTTCCAACCAAAAACTAAACATGTTATCTTTCAACTCAATTCTATATAGTATTAAAAGCAGAAATAAAAATATTGTAGACAAGCCTAAGGGAAAATATCAGTTCCAAAAGATTAAAATTCAGCGTTTATTTGGGTTTTTGCCAGCGGATCTAATTTCGACACAAATTTGCTGGACACTGTCTATCAGAAGTTCACAAATCAAATCAAAAATAAATGCACAGAAGGTGAAATTCGGAAATGACCTTGTTCAATTAACTTTAATGTTCACTTAACCCGCTCATTTATCTAACCGTGGAATTTAGTGTTTCCAAAAGTAGGATGACCAGCAAAACGTTCAGGGTCATTTCACCTGCCTGAAATTACCTGTTTCACACTTTCCTTTCCTCTGTGTTTTTACTGAGCTGCTTCACCATAGACATCTATGTAACTGGAAACAAGAAGAGTTGATCTAAATTGACTTACAACCGTTAATTCACGTTGACAAACCGTTAAAAGAACTGTTGGTACCAAAAGTAATTTCAGATTGCACATTTGAAGTTCAGGTGTTTGAAAGTTAGAATGTTGGTGCTGTGCTGATAGGCAAAGATCAGCTTTTGATTAACCCTCTGTTTTCTAATGTTAAACAGATTTTGGTTAGCATACTCATTCCCAGATAAAGTCACAATGTTGTCTTGGTCAATATTTGTGTTGTTTCGCTGCAATCTCGTTCCCAGGTTCTCTCTCCTACCCGTCAAGAGACGCTGGTTGGGTCTGGTCACATGTCTCCCAGAATCAGGGAGATTACAAACAAAAGATTTGGGGGAGGGGCAGATAAGTGTGAGTTTTTTTCTCTGCAGGGCGTAGACAGGTCAGTGGAAAGTGCAGCCATGAAACCTGACCTGAGCTCAAATGCCAAAAGTAATTCAAAAATTATTTCAGAGCAAAATCATATCTTCCTGCAGAATATCTGCATGTTAATCGGATGTTAATCTTTTGGGAACGCTTTCATTTGGTACATGCAGAGGGAATTGAGGATTCACAGCTTGTGCAGTAAAAAATAATTTAGGTAGTAGTATTCATACCGAAATGCACTAGATTGGAATTGCCATTTCTATGTTGTGGAGGCCACTTTAGAAAACAGTTGTATGTGTTTTCAAGACTATGATTATGCAGTTTGAAAGGGTGCCAATAAGGTGTATCAAGTGTTGCTGTCCTGACCAACCTCGAAAGTGAATTTTAAAAACGGGTTGAAGCAACAGGAAGCTAAGAGAGATTACTCTATCCAGAAACAGAATCTTGAAAGAGTACATTTTTAGCTATGGTTCTGTCTCTTTCAGTTTTTTTTGTCATCCTTTAAAATCAGCAGGATAGCCGTAAGCATCTTTGTTAAAAATTATGGCTTGCACGACTGACAACGGTTTATTGTTCCTTACCGGTATTTAATTTTCCCGAGGTTCTGGTATGCTGTAGAGGATTTTCAGAAATCACCAAGCCACATGTGTTTTTTAATTAAGTTTTCATATGGACCATATACAAGAAAGCCTTTTACTTGGAAGGTTATGTTGTTCGTTATGTCTCTGTTTATACTATTTCATGGTGTCTTCTGTGTGTGTTGTGGTCATCCATCAGTTTCCATTTGTATGCACGTACTACTGGTATATAATTTTTTATCTCTATTTACCTCTAAAAGCAATACGTTTTTTATTGCCTCATCATAAAAAAAGGTTAGGGGGTAGAGAAAGCCGACATTTCAGACCATAGCTTTCCATAAAGTCACTAGATCTGAAATATTATTTTGACCCTGAATGTATTAAAAATTAATTCCCTGCTCTCAATGTAACTGCTATGTTTTGTCACAAAGTCCCTAAGACCACCAATGGTGTAGGTTTTGCATATACTTATTCGGGCTGATTACCAACCCAAATACTTTGAAACTTTCAACTCGATGTCAACATACAGGGATTTTCCCTTCACGAAATTACCATGCTTGTGTAGAACTTTAGCGATTGGTTTCATCAGTGAAACTGACAACGCGAGTTTTTGATTCCTTCTCTGGTTATTCACTTCTTTATCTAGTTTATCCAGTAGGGTTAGCAACTCTATATTCCTCTCAATCATTGCGCAAGCGGTGAAAATGAACCAACCAGAAAATTGAGAGGCAAAGGAATCTTCCCTCAGAATTAATTTTGTCCTGGAGTCATGTGACCAGACCCAACCATGATCTGTCACTCTCTCTCTCTCTCTCTCTTGCTCTATAGGGACAGGTAGGAGAGAACCCTGGGAATGAAGTTGGTTTTGTTGTTAATTTCTTACATATCATGAACATCTCTGGAAATGATATATCTTTTTAGTACACCTCCTCCCCCATGGAAATTTGACCCCTTCCTTGGGGGTGGTGTGGATATTTTCTGGATGTATGCATTGTGACCACCAAGTCATGAACATCTCATCACATGGCAGCTCTTTCCTGCTCACACTTATTTGTTATCAATTTAACGAACCAACAAAAAGTTCAGTTCAATGTTGCTTGTCATGTAGGCAATTCCCTTGACTGTCAGCTAAAGCAATTGAATTAATGTTTCTGTAGAAAAAAGAGTGGAAGCCAATGGAAGAGTTTACTTTGTCAATCATAACACACGTGCTACCCAATGGGAAGATCCTCGCACTCAAGTGTAAGTATTGGTTTGAAGATGACATCCCAGACAGTGCTCCAAAGTAAAGTATTAGGTGTGGTCGCACACACATCATGGCATATGCAATTGTCCCCATCTCCCCTACCCCTCCCCCCCCCCCTGCCAAAAACACACATACACGCATTAAATAATGTTGTGGTAAAACGTTCTTTTAGTTTACCATGATAGCATGTGATCGGACATGGATTAATAATAAATTAAAAAGGTTTGGTCAATAACAATACTAAGTGGAAAAATCAGGACGAAAATCACTGTGCTAGAAAATGGCAACATTATCGTGTATTTTTTCCTGTCTTGCTCCCCATTTAGGAGTATTAGTGCATATTTTTTTAAAAATTTTTTGCTACATTCATGTAAATTTTCACTATTTATTTATTTTTTTCACGATTTATTTCCATAATTTAACGTGCTCATTTGTTTGTTAGCATGGTTGGCTCAGACTCACCTCTTCCCAGTGGTTGGGAGATGAGATACACAAATGAGGGCATTCCTTACTTTGTGGATCATAACACTCGAACAACTACTTTCAGTGACCCAAGAACAGGAATTGCTCTTGGGTAAGTAATTGGTCTTTGTTTGTTTGGTTTTTTTTTTCAGTACTTTATTAAGAAATAAAACTCTTGCACAGTAGTTTCTTTACTTTCATGATTTAATGAAACTGTTGTACAAGTTTGATGGCAATTTGCCTTTTTTCTGTTTTTTTTTTTTGTATCCCATGCAGCATGAAAGGTGCTGCTGGTGGTCCCGCTTATGAAAGAAGCTTCAGATGGAAAATTGGACAGTTCAGACATCTATGCCAGGTATTTGTATTCTTCCAAACTACAGAACTGTGTCATCCCTCTATTCCCACACAAAGTCCAGTTTTGTGTGCATGTTTACGTTGATGAAATTGATACAAATTTTTGTGATCAAACCACCTTGCAAAGAAAGTAGTGTCTGGTAGGCCAGGGCTTTTGGGGTTTGCTATCAGGCCAGTGAAATCTGTTCTTAACTTGCCCAGCAAGTGCCCGGCAAGTGAATTGTTGTTGTTGTTGTTGTTGTTGTTGTTGTTGTTGTTGTGTTGTTTTTTTGGGGGGGGGGGGGAGATTCAAATGACAGAAGAGCTGTATTCAATGATGTTGATCAAAAAGTATAAAATATTTACATGCTAACCACAGCTTCCCCGAGTGGCAAGCTGTAAAACTGACTTTCTTTGCACCCCGGGGCTGATGTTAATGAAGTGTTGTGAACAGCTTCTAAAACATCCCCAGAGTTTTTCATTTGAATAGGATTGCTAAAATTAATAATGCATTTCCCTTTTTAAAACGTGTTGATTGAAAAATGACAAACCAAAGCTGGCAAAGTAAGAAATGTTGGGCAGAAATATTCATCCTAAATCAAACTGCAACACAACATAATGGGCATTGATAATTTTTCTGGAATTGCAATTTGGTAAGAATTTGGTTGTGACTCATTTCGCTATGCCATTCTTGAAATGGTAACAGTTGTATGTCTTTAAGAAAACTTTGCATTTCATTTAAGAACAAGTTCTGGCTGGCTGACAGATTTTTTGTTTGTTTAAGGATGAACAAAAAATTAACAAAACTGTACCAAAGACTGTATTTTCCCTGGGACTGAATTCAAAGCCTTCTCCTGATTTTTCAGTTGGCCAAGTTTTACCCGGTATAAACGTCCTTACATATGAAAAAAGGGACAATATACTTTCTGAATATTAACAAGTTTTTGAAGTGTATATAACTAACTCATTATAATAAACTTTTTTTAAAATTTCAGTCCTCTAATAGTTCTTAGTTCTGAACTGTCAATCCTTTCAACATGAGCGCCAAGTTGTGAGTTTGTGGGAGTTATATATCCTCACAGATGACCGTGTTATGTTTGATAATAATAATTATTAACTGTGCTATTGTTTCCTTTCCAGTCCAATGCTCTTCCAAGCCATATAAAAATAACAGTCAACAGGACCAACATTTTTGAGGATTCTTTTCAGCAGGTTGGTGTTCAATCTCACCATGTAATGACACTGAAATTAGGGCAGCTGGAAAGTGCAGCTGCTGTCGCGATTGAAAATTGTGTCTATTTCACATGTCAACTTGCAATAAAATAACAAAATAATAATAATAATGATAAACCCAAGGCTGTCATTAAGCGGCGGAGCCGGGGGTTTCCCCCAGCTACCATGAACGTGGCTCCCGGCTACTTTCATGTAAAATAGAAGAAAAATAGAACCAAAAGAAATCCTTAGTTGCTTTATTCCCCACCCATTTGTTGTATTTAGCCGGCAATTTGAAATCTTAGTGACATCCCTGCAATCCAGCATTAGCGTCCTTAGTGAGGACCTTATGCTGTTAGTGCGTAAAGTATTTTACTAATTGTTCTTCAATAGAGAGACCACATAGTGGAGATACAGTAATGAATTATAGTACGCAGATGGGATATATCTGTTGAAACATTTTGTTTAAAATTTCAAATATAAACGTTATACTTTATTTACTCTTAGCAATATTTTTGTTGACTTGTTAACAGTGATCAACCTAGATTTGCATAATGCATTTTTCTGGTTTCTGTAATGTTTACTCTAATTGTCTTTAATATCCTATCGCTGTTTTCCATATTTACAAGCTTTTGGGATTATTTTTGGTAGCTTTTAAAAAAAACGGTTTCAGCAATAGAAGTTACGTATTTATTGTCCTTTTTCTCAATAATTTGTAGAAAGTATAATTCAAGTTTTAGATGGCTTTCCTAGAAAATATTATTTAAAACTATCGCCATCATTTTTCCTAACTTACTATTAGTTATCATAAGATGTTTCTCAAAAATGGATGTAAGTTAAGGTGATTGCCTTTTGTTGTCTGACAGGACTGAAGGTGACAATAATTTTGTTTAAAAATTGTATGGAATGCAGACTTGAGAAAAACACACACACATTGAACTAACCACCACTTTGGTGGCCCAAGGTGAACTGCTGCTGAACACTGATTGTTCTGGTTTGGTTTTTGTTACCAGGTCATGAGATATGCTCCACATGACCTGCGTCGTAGGCTTTATATTATCTTTAAAGGAGAGGAAGGCTTGGACTATGGTGGTGTTGCAAGGTAAGCTTTGCTTTATTTGCACAAGGGTGTGATAGGAATGGAAAATTGCAGTGGGTAACCAGTTTTGGTTGTAAACTCAACAGCAGGTGTCGTAATTTTTCTTTCTATCAGAGAGTGGTTCTTTCTCCTTTCTCACGAAGTGCTCAATCCAATGTACTGCTTGTTTGAATATGCCAACAAGAGTAATTACAGTCTTCAAATCAATCCAGGTATGTATGCCTGAATAAGGAACTTTGATTTTAGTGTTTTGCAAACAACAATAGTTAACTACCTGTAATACTGCTGTACATGTACATTGATAAAGAATATTTTTTGCTATTGACTTTCTCATGCTGTCCAGAGCATGGCTATGAAATCTTGAAAACACTTGACAAAAGCTGCCTGGTTAAAACAAGCAAGTCATAGCATCGTAGTTGTTATTATGTTGAACTGTTGCCTTGTTATTGTTGCCAGCTTACAGTGTGTGACAGAAGGTAACTGCCACTGATACAACCTATAAGTATGACCCCGGAGTAGTCAATCGATAAAAATCGCTATTGATTTATCAATCAAAAAATCAATAAAATCGGTAAATCTGATATGATTGATATAGGTGGTATCGATCAATCATTAGAAATGGATGACACACTCGTTTCGTTCATCGATTTATCTTGATTTTTACCAATTTCATCAATTTATATCGGAAAATACATCAGTTCATCTGTTCATCAAAAAATGAAAACTGAATTCATGCAAACAGTAAATTTGTTGACAACTGAGTTCCAATTGAGAGTCGAAACAATTACCCTCACTTTTTTAAAAAAATAATCTTTAGAAAAATTCTTATCTTTTCTTTAAAACCAGGCTTAAAATCGTCTTCTGATGGCTGATATCGGCCAGGTTTAAAGGCGCCCAGTTTTTCACAATTTAGACCGGCCTTTTTTTCAAAATAACGTCGGTGTAGTTCCGGGTGTAGTTACATCCCGGACTAGCTAATAGATAACAATCGAAGTCGATGGAAATTGTTAGCAATCAAGTAATTTTTATCGATTGTTAACGGAAAAGTTCAAAAGCCACGTTCACAATTGTGTTTTTCCGCTGCCGTCGATCATAATTACGATCACAAGAAACAAACCTTGAAACAGTGAAACACGCAAAACGGATCGAAATCCACAAATCACAAACCATGACCTTTTGAACCCGTGAAGTAAAGTTTTGTTTCCTAAGAGGTCCGTTAAGATGATTGACAGCAGTGAAAACGCAATCGTCGGTTGGCTTCTGAACTTCAGAATTCGCATGTTTGTGAAAAGTGCAGTAAATAGACGATCCTAATTTGCGGTCTACAGTCTACATGAAAACGCACTATTTTTTCCACGAGATAAAAAATATTCAGTTTTAAGATTTTTCTCCTGGGATTTTTTTCTCTAACTGAAAGAAATAAAATCCTTTGCATTTTGTGACCTAAAAAAGTTTAAAGATTTCTCGCTCGCATGTTACGTTCATCAGCCGCACTTCAAACAAGTTTTTTTCAGTTTACATCTCCATAAAATGGTGGAAGAAATCTCAAGAAACATTACGAGAGCTGAAAATTTTCAAAGGCATGTTTCTGAAACTCGCTAATGCTGACATCAATATAGCGTGCTTGCTGAATGGGCGAAAACACAGAATTGTGATCACAAGATCATGTACAAATTTAATGATAAAAGCTTAGCAAGATACAGATACAAACAAAAGCAAACCCCCTGAAACCTCGACGTGGGCTACACTTGTATGCTCTACTCAGTCACCAAACCTTGTCAGTAATAGCTCCTATTTTCCTCAAGTCGCTCTTTGTGAAGCTCCCGGATGGGATGTCCCGGTGAAGCTTTGAACTTGTGTGCGAAATTCTCAGAGTTTCTTTTTTTGTCCGTGTCTTCTTTATCCTCAGTATCCGAAATTTAGACCTCCAAAGTGGCGTGTGTTGCGTTAAATAGAAGGAAATATTTAAAGGAAAAGCCAGTTTTCTAACATGGCAAAGTTTTCACGTATTCATCTGCCATTCATCGGCAACTGAGTTGTTCGCTTCACTGACTACGACAGCGTACAATCAAGTCTTCAGCCATAGTGTCGTCAACTGGTGAAATACTTTGCTCATAAATTGTGCTTATCGATTGCTCATGTACTACATCGATCGATAATTCTCTCTTTGAGTTCACGAAGCGGCCCCGGCGTTCCAAACCTGACGCTCACAGTCATCTTTTAGTTTGTATGCAACGTGAGCACTTCTCTGAGTTTCCCAGCGCCAACATCATCAACTGACTTAAACTCGAACAACAAAAAAATTATAAAGTGACTCCTATGATCGAATCGCTTCGAACAACGCAAATAGCCTTCTTCAAGTTCGCAACACCTTCTGGGTTTCTGGGGGGGCGGAGACGAGGTACAAAAAGTATTCGTGCAAGGGAAAATCCTATGAAACCATTTGTGAGAACATCGTTTCTCGGTACCAGACCCTCGTGTCTTCCCTCCCCCGAGAGGCGGTTTTTCTGCACCGACGACCGAAAACCGAATTTTTGACTAGGCCGCAGAGGCAGCCCAGTAAATAGTTAAAATTGATTTTACACGGCAATTTAGTTTATCGATTTTTACCTATTTCCGTTATCAATCGATAAAAATCACTGGATTGCTAGTAATTTTTATCGATACCGATTTTTATGGATTGACTACTCCGTGATTGATTACTCCGTTTTTCTATGTGACCCGAATCTTACACAAAGCTGCATAATTGGCCTGCACTGCCTGCTCCTCCTCTCCTCTCCTCTCCATTATTATTCATGCAGGGGAGGTCATAATGGTTGATGATAACATGACTGTTTGCCCCAAACTATTAGAAGCTATAAAGTGCCTGGCCTATCACGCCCTTTGAGTGCATTCAAGAAGTTTTCATAGAAGTCAAGAATATTAAATCCTGTTTGGCCGCTTTCATGAAAATCGAAGGTGTTGGTTTTTTCGGTCAGCTGTTTAGTTGCAAAGTCAATGGGCTCAGCCTTTGTTAGCACTCACAAAAGGAAGCGCTCAAAGCAGTATGCGTCAATTTTGCACATGGGTATAATTTATTATTATGGAAGACTTTGTCAAGGTTTTTACTCAGATATGGACAAATGTACAAAGTAAAGCTTTATAATCCGTGTTTTGACTGAAAATCCTCTTTCTGTGCCCACAGTAGCCTGTGCAAAGCCATCCCTCCCGGCTATACACAAGCTACTGTGTGCACGAACAGAGGATTTTCAGTCTAAACACAGATTGTAAAGCAAAATATTCGAGACTAAATGTATGAGTACTGGTTCCGAATATCATGAACCATTTAGTCACAAGCCAAAACTGTGTGTTTCATGATAGACAAAGTTGACGATTGTTGATACTTGAGAGTGGTTGCCAGTAAAAACCGGGCAAAATGTTAAAAATGTCAACGGAACCGAAGGCGGTCAGCAGAATAAGTTCATACTAATATCATAGATAGGTTAGGTGGAGTATTGGACAAATATACCAAACATAGGTTCTTCACGGCTCTTGTATTAAAGATACGAGAATCACTTTATTCGACCCCTTCGGAAGCCATTTTTATAAGCAAATTTTCACCATTTTGTGAAACTCATAGAACCCTCAAAATTTAACGACCGAAGTTTGTTTTTTGTATGCGATACAACACATCACAGAACTACTTTCTAAAACCATAAGATTTGTTAAGTGGCCACGCACAAGACTAAAATTTTCTTATTTCATCTGACCTAAACTCAGTGTCTGCAAATGAGCAAAAAATCGGGCATTTTTGAATTGATCTACAGCGCACAACTAAAACGACAGAACAACTCTGACAGCCAAATTGCAGTTTACTATTATCTATGTAACCAAAACACTAATAATCATTTTGGGCCATTGAAACAGGAAGAAATTAGAAAACTCACATTTGTTATAGTTTCCAAGCTTTTTCTTGTAAACAGGCCGATCCCTTCGTGTTTGTGTTAAGTCCTCTTCGTGAATTTTCTGTCATATTTCGCTGTACAGTAAGTTCAGCAGCTGGAGCTGCTGTTTAAATTTAGCTTGTTTTGTGTTGTCGTTTTTTTTGGCATTACCTTATTCAGTCTTCATTTGCTCACCATTCACTTCATTTTGAGTTATCCCGTGTAAGTCTTAGCGTTTCTTTGGACTCTTTATTGTATCAGCTACTATTGCGTCAGTCTTCAATCACCGTTCATATCGGAAGGTCCACTCACAGTCCTGAAGGATTCTGGTCGAAGTAGTAAAATGACGTCATCATGCAAATGCCTATTGCGAGATTATTGCGAGACGATGGACTCGTGGAAAATTTGCAATTTTTGTCCGTATGTTAGATAGACTGTCTGTTAGATATCGAACGCTGCTACTAGTGCCAGTCCCTTCTGAGTGCTGAATTTTCAAGATGGAGTAGCTTTGTTATTTTCTAGTTTTATCCTATCGTTCAGCACTTCTTACCCTTTCAAAATGTAACCTAGGCAGTATTTCGTGCTTTTTGATATGTCCTTCAGCTGCTGAACTTACTTTACAGCGAAATATGACAGAAAATTCACGAAGAGGGCTTAAAACAAACACGAAGGGATCGGCCTGTTTGCAAGAAAAAGCTTGGAAACTATGACAAACGGGAGTTTTCTAATTTCTTCCTGTTTCAATGGCCTAAAATGATTATTAGTGTTTTGTTACATGGATAATAGTAGACTGCAATTTGGCTGTCAGAGTTGTTCTGTCGTTTTAGTTGTGCGCTGTAGATCAATTCAAAAATGCCCGATTTTTTGCTCTTTTGCAGACACTGAGTTTAGGTCAGATGAAGTAAGAAAATTTTAGTCTTGTCCGTGGCCACTTAACAAATCTTATGGTTTTAGAAAGTAGTTCTGTGATGTGTTGTATCGCATACAAAAAATAAACTTTCCTCGTTAAATTTTGAGGATACTGTGAGTTTCACAAAATGGTGAAAATTTGCTTATAAAAATGGCTTCCGAGGGGGTCGAATACAGTGATTCTCGTATCTCAAATACAAGAGCAGTGAAGAACCTATGTTTGGTATATTTGTCCAATACTCCACTTAACCTATCTATGATGTTAGTATGAACTTATTCTGTTGACCCCATCGCGTTGACATTTTTTAACGTTTTGCCCGGTTTTCTCAATGACAACCACTCTTCAATCAAATGCATCATCAAATTTCATGACCGTTAGACCCTAGCTGGATTTAGGGATTGCAGGATATATATCGACTGACAACGTTGCACATGAATTTGGGAACTGACAGCCTGTGGACAGTTGTGCTTAAACTTATAGCTGAGTGTTAAACTGTTTGTTGTTACCTTTTGTAGCATCATACGTGAATCCTGATCATTTACAGTATTTTAGATTCATTGGACGTTTAATAGCAATGGTAAGTGGATACTGGCTTATGTTATTTCTATTGTTCAAGAACGAAGATAGAAATAATAAAACGTGTAATCTCCGAATGAAGGGTAATGGAAGCCAAATAATTTAGAAACTGTACAGAAGCCCTTTGGGTCAGCCCACAACTGCATGTTCGCCTGATGTCCCAACCGATTAGGTGACTAAAATGTTCAGGTTCAGGGAAATAGATTTGTTAAGGGAAACTGAAATATGATTGTTTGAACATTCTTAAATAGATATTTTGCTCTCTTATTTTTAGGCCCTGTATCATGGAAAATTCATTGACAGAGGTTTCACACTGCCTTTTTACAAGAGAATGTTAAGTAAAAAGCAAACAATGAAAGATCTGGAATCAATTGATCCTGAGTTTTATAACTCCCTGGTTTGGATAAAGTATGTATTTTTCAAAACTGCTTATAATTTTTATACAGATCTTGCTTTCCTTACTGTATTTACTGTAACTGGGGATAGAACTAAACGCTTTTTGATACAAATGTGCTTGAGGAGTAGACGATGTTGCCTATGTTTTTTTCGGTGCCACTATAGCCTTTTCAGCCTGTTGAATGACTTACATGTACCGACGAAGGATACCACTCCTTTATATTGTTGAATACTGAATGCACTGTAATTCTCTATTGTTTTTTTGCTTATTCCGAACCTCTGTTTTCTATGTGAACATGGTGTTCTTTTGTATGTTTGCACTTGTACTCTACTCCTACTTTTAAGCCAAAGTATCTTCCTTGGTTGGCCTGTTTGTTTCTTCCTCTTTTGGGTGTTGATTTATTTTTTGTAAGGCAAATTAATAAATGCAGACACAAGAGATGACATCTTATAAAGGGGAGCCTGTTGACACCACAGACAAAAAGTAAGACTGTTCAAATTATTTTTTGACAGAGATAACAATATAGAGGAATGTGGTTTAGACATGGAATTTGCTGTGGACATGGAGTTGTTGGGGAAAATAACCTCACATGAATTGAAGCCTAACGGATCAAACATTAAGGTCACAGAAGAAAATAAAGAGGAGTACATATCGTATGTAGTACTTTTGATGTCTTTCTCGATCAAATGTGGGAAGTGGTTGTCATACTTACAGCGTCTAAAGACTGGGCGACTGCGAATTTAATTGCATTGTTGTTAGCGAAAAAGCCAGTCTCTGGAATAATTTATCGATGACCAAGTTTTGAAAAAACTCGAGAACTGTAGTGGTGGATTAATTTAACAATTAATGAATGAGGCTGAGTATCTTATGAAGAATTATGGAGATCGAGGAGAGTGTTATCGGCCGAGGCGGATAACACCCTCCGAGATCTCCATAATTCTACTTATAATATCATAGGTGACGAATTACTCCTTAATTTTGGCGCGAAATTTCAGCGTTAATTTGTAATTTCACATGTGTCAAGATGGCGACGAAGTTTTAAAATGCCGTGAATGAAGATGTCAGGGCACAAAAAGACCCTTTAGAAAACCTGAACACACAAGAGAACATCAAGAAGGATTCTAACAGGTATTTTGCCGAAAAAGTCTGAAAAATTCTGAACTTTATAAGCCAAATTTAAGGTCTCAACATTTCAGAGAGTGTAGTTCTCGATCGATACGATCTAGGATAAACATGTCAAAAATCTAAGATTGCTAACGTAATTCGTCACCCATGATATTAATAGGTAATCAAATGGTATACTCGTGAAATTAGGGAATAATTTCACGCGCGTTTTCGTGTCCAAATCTTAATAATTGGCTCGGGAAATTATTAGGATTTGGACCCTAATTTCACTCGCCACCATTTGATTAGTATGTGTAATCAAATGGTGACGAGTGAAATTAGGGAATAATTTCACGCGCGTTTCCTCCAATTTATAATTTCCCGAGCCTGGACAAAACGCAAAACGCAAAACGAGTATACCATTTGATTACCTATTAATATCATGGGTGACGAATTACGTTAGCAGTGGAGGATTTTTGACATGTTTTAGCTATGTTTTTAATTTAGGAATTATTTTGAATGAATAATAATTCGGTTTTCGTATCTTATGAAGAATTATGGAGATCTCGGAGGGTGTTATCCGTCGAGGCCGTAGGCCGAGGCGGCGGATAACACCTTCCGAGATCTCCATAATTCTTCACAAGATACTCAACCTCATTCATTAATTCTTAAGTAGTCAAGGCTTATTTTTCCTGGCGACTGCTGAGTATTTCTGCTGTTTCCATCAGAGGAATATTGAAGAGGGTAGGAATTGCTCTCTTTTTGGTCAGCATGAGGTGTAAGGTCGAGTTGAGGGGAGGAGGAAGAAAATTCGGTCTCCGCTCATCTCCTTCCCTTTCTCCTGTGGCTCGCGCATTAACACAACTCGATCAGAGACACAGGGGAATAAAACATCCCTGAGCTTCAAGGAGACTTCTTTTGTTTTATCCCCCCAAGCCTCAGAACCAAGTACCTTCCTCACCCCATAAACCCTTGTGAGCCAGACAATAAGAACCATCGTAGCTTTGCTCACAACCAACGCTATTATCAAAAAAACTCCTGGTCAGCGCTTCCCAGGTTTACCATGTTGCTGAACAAAGGAAAGAGTGGTACTTTATGTTATAAAGTAGACTCGCCGACAGGAGACTTCACTGGGCTGCCCGGCATAAAACCTGTGTTTCATGAAAACGAGAGGTTTTTTAGAACAGACAGGCAGCAGCTTATTATAAAAGGAATTAACCCAATAAACCTCTCTCAATCGATCTACGGGCCTCAATGCACCGAGACTATGTGGACACGAGAACGCATTGATTTTGCCACAAGGTAAAAATGTTGTGTTTCAAGATTTTTTCCCTTCTTTTCTTGTCATTTTTCTTGAACTTGAAGTAATTAGCTGTTTGCATTTTCCGACCTAAGAAAGTTTAAAAATTTCAATTGTCACACGTCGATTGCATCGGAAAGAACTTTAAAAAAATGTAAACAGATCAAACGGTCGATAACACAATTTTTTTATACCGTAATAGGAGTTGAAGATTCGCTATTTTTCTCAGCCGTGAGTAACGTATTTTCATGAAAGACAGTCATTCCGTTGTTTACTCCTCCGAAATTTTAGGCGACACGCTTTTCACAGCGAAATCCGTGGGTGGCTAAAGACTGAACTGAAGCGCACCTTGAAATTCAGTAGCTCATGACCTTGTTTAAATCATGATTAAATCTGGGTCATAGTGCTGATTAGTCATTACACGTACTTAAACTGTTTTCTGTTCGAGCGATTTATCTCGATGCACAATGACTGACCTCTACATTAATTGAAACCCTATGGTTCATTGATATAACACTGTTGTGTACTCTCCATCACATTTACAGTGTGTACGTATTCACATCACCTTCAGTAAAATAAAATGTTTAAGTCAAGCTTTATATGTCATGTGAAGTTTCGAGTGAAATCGATTTATAATATGTTTTTATAAGATCCCATTTTTCAATGGCTGTAGTTTACACCTTCATCAAAAGGTATGTATGGCGATGCGAGCTGTGAACTTTCGAAGTTTATCGAAACTTTAGCGTAACCAGTCGTATTTCCTGAAGGAGAGAAGACACAGAACTAGGGAGATTAGCATAACAAGGTCATGCACAAATTTAATTCAGATAAAAGCTTAGTAAGATACAGATAAAAACAAAAGCAAACCCTTTGGACTATTTTAAGAACAACTGTAACTAAGTTTAAACTTTAGGAAGCAAAGTCAACAAACTCTGAACTAGTGAGAGACTTGCCTTTTTCTCTTTACTGCTCATTTGCCCTCTCGCCAAACTGAAACCGCCAGCTTCGTAGGCTTTTGAACTTGTGTGTGAAATTCTCGAAGTGTAAATTCCGTCGTCCGAGTCTTCTTTACCCTTATCCGAAATTTAGACTTCTAAAAAGGCGTCTGTTGCATTAAACAGAAGGAAATATAGAAACCCGACAAGACGCTATGGGAGCGTACACTTCTGCGTCGTGGTTGTGGATTAATTGTGAATGCGGAGGAGTAGTAAGAAATGATATTTTTCCAGATACCCTTCCATACAAATACCCTTACTTTTCTCCTTTTCTGTAACAGACGTCTCAACTTCTTCACCGGAAGTCTGCTAGGTGCATGGCTGTGACCCAGTTCGATTATAATTTCTGCCATAAATAATTGCGCACGGCGAGATCTCAGCTCCACTTCCTTTATTTTCTCTACAACAACACTTTCCTTATGTACAGTTAACTCCACACATTTTCCAGCAACGTAACTATAAACTAATATCAGTACACTCCCTTACAAAACTTGCTGAAAATGCACAATCTCCACACCGAGGATAATTCATGTACAACATCGCAACATAAACTAGAAATACTTGTCTCGCAATAACCCTAGCGAAACTCGGTTTTTTAGTAGCGCCACTCAAGGTAAGCCCTGTCGGGCGGGGTTAGGAACTGGATGGGTACCCCACTGCGAATATCGTCGTAAAGGTCCCTTCTTTGTTCTTTCTTTTCTTCTTCTTTTTTGCATATTGTGTGGTGTCATTTTTAAAAGTGTATTGAAAAGCATACTTAGCATTATTTCGACCGCTGCATGTAGAAAAAAAAAACAAACAAACAAACACGAAAGTACAGTTAGTCTCCATCGCAGCCGTTTTTAGGCTCGCGGTTGCGTGACGAGCCTAAAAACGGCTGCGAAGGAGACTAGTTCGCGTGAAAATTATTATTTGGGCGTGACTCAAATAAAGTACAGTAGAACCTAGCCTCCCACGCAGGCGTTTTTAGGGGAGCTCGTATTTCTTCCCTCCCCACAGGGAAGAAATACGAGCTCCCCTAAAAGCGCCTGCGTGGGAGGCTAAGTAGAACCTCGATTTAACGAAGTCGCTGGGGACCGACCAAATTTGTTCGTTAAATCGAAAACCTCGATATAACGAATTTGAGGGGAAATGACCAAAAAGTTCGCTTTATCGAGGTCATAGGTAATGATTGATTTGTAACACAGGTGTATTTCTCTTGTTTTTAAAACACGGAGGACAAATCTCTGTGGAAGTGATTGGTAAACGGAGAAAGAAGGGCATTGGACTTAATATTCCGGCTACATATTCGTTTTATCACAAGAAGCCTTCGAAAGTGAAGAAGTTAAGAGAACTAATAAGAGACAAAGAAGATAAAGCAGAGGTTAATTGATGTCGAAATAATATCGCGCCAATGTCTGTGACATAATAAGCCTTTGTCTGAAAGGTTACTGTCTCTTTACCATAAGGATTAAAGGATTTGTTGACTGTTGATCTGTTCAGCATTTATCTTCTGTCGCGTATTGACATTGTAATTCGTTATATCGAGGTAGATTTTACGTTTGGGCTTCCGGATTATGTTCACTATATCGAAGAATTCGTTATATCGAGGTTCTATTCCATGCATTTTACTATAACTTTGGCTGGGACAAAGGATATCGTTCGTTATATCGAGGACTTCGTTAAATAGAGGTTCGTTAAATCGAGGTTCCACTGTAATCGAAATGGCTTGTTTTGACGCAAAGTCGCAATAGGCACACAATACGTGCTAGCGTAAACAAGCGAAGTGAGGCGAATGTCTGCCATGCGAACGTCTTTTACAAGGTAAGAGGCATGTGGGAAAGAAAGCTCTGATAGCCAGCACGGCACCTTATCGTACTTTTACGATCTCAAAAGTTAATCTTAATCTTCAGTATTTTAACCTCATCGAACTTTGGAAGTCTGAAGTCCAGGGATGAAATCTATCAAAAATGTTTGGAATATTAACGTCGGGTTTTGGTCATAATAAGACGATTATTGTTCTGAGATGTCGGGAGCGTAAGGAGATGGTGCGCGAAAGTTTTGTGACTTGCAGCCTAGTAATATTAAAAGAAAGAGAAAAAATACATTTAGGAATTGGTGAATAAACTTAGAAGGAATTGGCTTATGCCTGGTCGGTTCCAAAGAAGCTTTTAAATGGACTATATTTCTGGACCTCCACTTCAACAGCAACAAAAGAATAACCGGAGCGAACCAAAAAAGTCGATTCGGCACTTATAAAAACACAAATTTAATTCTCAAAACCACTGAATAAATGATTTAGAAAGTATCTGCATCTTTTTCCTGCACTAGCTGCTGTTTCTCTTCTGGGATAACTTTGAAAATCGTTTTTAGCTTGACGCTTCGTGCTTGTGTTGTTGTGTTCATTCACGAAAAAGAAAACTGGCAATGTTTTGTTGAGTGAAAGTCTAGGAATATAACAGTGTAGTATATTATACACTTAATGTCAGATCCCGAGGGAAACAGTTAGTTTTTTTGTGGAGTGAAAGTCTAGGGATATAACAGTGTAGTATATTATACACTTAATGTCAGATCCCGAGGGAAACAGTTAGTTTTTTTTTTCCCGAGAGTCCTGACGTTTCCCGAGACGAAGTCGAGGGAAACATCAAGATTCGAGGGAAAACAAACTAACTGGTTTCCCGAGGGACCTGACATGAAGTGTTTTGTTATATTTTTAGACTTTAACTTCCACAGCAGCAAAAGAATATTAAACCGGAGCGAATCAAAACAGGCGACTCGGTACTTATAACAACACAAATTTAATTCTTAAAACCACTGAATGAATGATTTAGAAAGTACTTTCCTTATATTATCTGCATCTTTTTCCTGCACTAGCTGCTGTTTCTCTTCTGGGATGACTTGAAATATCGTTGCTTTTTAGCTTGAGGCTTCGTGTTTGTGTTCATTCACGAAAAAGAAAACTGGCAGTGTTTTTCCCGCCTTCTGTCACACCACTTTCCACCATGCTTTGATCACGTGCTGTAATGTAGCCCGAGCGGGGTACGTTGCTTAGTGTATCACGATCGGGATACATTTGATTTTAGTCAAGGCCACGTGACCAAGAATCAACCAATGGTAGTCCCTGTTTAGCTGAGTGAAAGTCTAGGAATATAACAACAAATGTTAATAGTTACCAATGTTCCTGTAAACAGTGCTGCGCTATGGCAGTGTTATAAATCCCTGTAGTTACTGGGCTTCTGGAACTTTATGTGCCCTTGTTAGTGAGCGGAATACACTTAACTGTACAATGTGATGTCTGTGACAAGACATATTATGCTTTTCGATCTTCCTCAAAGTGTCATTATCAGTGGAGCTGAGATAAACCTTACTGTCCGGGCTGTAAGCACTTGTGTCCTATGTTGCAATTTGGCTGAAAGCAAGTCTGTGTTGAAGATGTGCCTTTCAAAACATTGTCATGAAGTGACAGGATTTTTGTTTTATTAAAGCAAACTCGTCAGCGCAGTGAGACGCACTGAAAAGTGTTCTTGTATCTCGATTTTCGCTCATATTTTGAAGCTACCAGCCCAAATTGATTCAATGTTTTCTGTAAAATACTTTTGCAGTCAATATTTCTAGTCAGAATAATAAATAAGAACAAGCCGAAAAGTCACCAACTTATCCTGTACCTCGTGCAGTGGGCAATCGGCTGATCCCGCAACGTCGGGTCTCATCTGGTCTGATGGGTCTCACAAGTGAGCCGGTTCAAACCTCGGGCAAGCCAAAAATAATATCAAAGAAATAACAAAGAAATGAAACTGATCTCGAGATATCGAGAACTAATTTGGCGCTCACTTCGTCAAATAGCCGAATAAGCCGAACACCTACAAACTTTGCATGCCCAATCTCGTCCCAAAAAAGCAACTTTCGTACATTCCTGAGCGTCGCGAATGCTTTACTTCGCGTTTCGCCGAAGTAAAAAAGCAATTTGCATTCTGCGCTGAAATGGTCGAAACACGTAACGCCTTCTGGGTTAAACTGGGTGAACAATTAACAGTGCCCGTATGTAAAAGTGCCGGGATATTGCTTAGACTACTAAACGAAACAGAATTTATAACTGGGTGTTCCTTGCAGCCCAGTAACTATAGCGGCTTTTGATGGGTCATGACAATAATCATAATAATAACAACAACAATAATAATGATAAAAAAATTGTTATAGTGATAATATTATCAGTTATTCCTTTATTTACTCTCGACAGTTTTTTATGCCGCAAAAGCTAGTGAGGCCGAAGAAGTTACTGAAACAGACAAAAGTATAAAACATAACAGGGTTGAGAAACCCAATTGCCTTATTGGCTATGTCAAGTGTGGTCCAGATTTGAACTCTGGACTACTGTGAACAAATCCTTGCAAGAAGTCACTTGGGGCTTCCGAATTGCAAGTTCAACTCTGTAAACTTAAGCGTTTCGCATGTGCCTGCTTATCACGTTATGTTTCATTTTCAGACTTATGACACAATGGCGATTTAATCGTGGGATTGAAGAGCAAACTAAAGCTTTCCTAGATGGATTCAATGAAGTTGTTCCACTTTACTGGCTGCAGTATTTTGATGAGAAAGAAATAGAGGTATTTAGACCTCCAAGGGCGCAGGTCCAAAACCGCACTTTTCTTAAGCGTAACGTAGTACATAGTCCTGGCAAAAATTCGAAATATTATGGATGTTAGTGTGGTGTAATGCGCTCTTGATTTTGATAATTTGAGAAGTCCTTCATGAGTTGGTGTCTGCTTAAAGCCTGGATAGAAGTAAAAAAGTTGAATAGATTCGAGAACTCGATTTTTGGAAGGTCACTCACAAATACCTTTAAAACACACTCACAAAAACGTATCAATTCAAAGTAGACAGACTGCAAATCATCTTAGCTGCTAAAAAATATATATCTACGTGTCGCAACTGTTCATCAGTAGGATACCTAAAATGCGGGCAATTCCACAATTGGTTTCGGCTCCATTAAATCCTATACCAATTGCAGAACATCTTAGGAGGAGCCACCCACCATGTGAACACAGTCACCGACAATTTATATGTTTCTTGCCAGTAGCCGAGCATCCTGTGCGTAAGAGAGAATATATCGAAGCTGCTAAAATTTAGACTCGATTAGTTCCGCGGTCTCCCGGGTTCGGTCTCATTTTCCCGAGCAGCGGCTGATAATCGCTGGAACCTGCTAAAACTATTGGGCCTGATCCGCCGCCGCCCCTCAGGTTAAGCCGGCACTGATACTACTTCATTGCCCTTTTTTTAAAAACGGACTTATATTTAGCGTGGTTATATAAACAGGATTGTTCAATGGAAAGTATACTACTCGTAATCCGAGATTATTTCCCATTATTGGCAGAAAAAGTCATGCTGATAAGAGCTCGGTAGTAGAGAAAAGCATCATTTCGTAGCCGTTGTTTCAAGCCTGTTCATGGGCTCGGGGGGCTTGCTGTTCTGAATTAGGCTTCAAACTTTTCATTAGCCTATTTATTTGAATTACTTTTCGCTGATGGACAGTGTAGCTTTTGACATGGCCCTTGGCCTCCCAAAATCTTGGCATAGTCAAAGAACGACTGAAACCTTGTTTTGTCTTTGCCAATACGTGCTGGGCAACTGCTTGAGTTATATATTATATGTATATATCATATGTTATTTGTTTTTCATTTTCGTGTTTTTTTTTTTCTCTCTTCTGTTTAGTTAATGCTCTGTGGAATGCAAGAGATTGATGTAGATGACTGGCAAAATAACTCCGTTTATCGACATTACACGAGGAATAGCAAACAGGTCACTTGGTTTTGGCAGGTAAATGAAGTTTCTTAAATACGGTATGTCCATTAGTCATTACAAGTTGATAACAGGCAATTACAGTCAAATCCCGTTAATACGGACACTGACGGGGCCATAGAAAGTGGTGTCCGTAATAAGCGGGTTGAATTAAGAAAAATGTAAGGGCTTTCTTTCCCAAAAGACAAATCGAGTCAAAGCAAAGTGTCCGTAATAGGGCTGTAATACTGAAATGTCCGTATTAAGCGGGTGTCAGAAAAGCGGTCTTTGACTGCACTGGTAACCCTTAGATGACTTAGGGAAGAAGCATGCTTTTGCTTAGGGTCAGTGTTAGTACTACAATGGTGCAAAATTACAGCGTTTGTATGAGGTAAAGTTCCGACCCTGATATTTGTAGGAAGTAATAAATAAATGTCCATAGAACTTACTTTGCCATTAGTTTTTGTTTTCTTTAATGCTTACACGTAGTTTTTCGGACAATGACAACTGTAAAGTAAGTGTCGTGGACTGTTATTCATTATTTCCTTCAAATTTTAAGATCGGAAATTTACTCATATAAAACAAGCACAAGAATGCAGGGTTGAAGGTAAAACCCACTTTTTGAGGATGATCAGCAAATTCTTTAAAATTGGGACACGGAAAAGAAGCCAGATGTATCCTGCCCTGTATTAGCTTTAGCTGAGTATGTTTTTTCGGTGTCTGTGTTATGTTAGGCGCTTCGTTCATTTGATAATGAGAAGAGAACACGATTGTTACAGTTTGTGACCGGCACATGTCGTCTTCCTGTTGGAGGATTTGCTGAGCTTATGGGTATGTAGTCTGCTTAAACTCAGTAGGCCATTATTTGGAGGTGAGTATCACAGCCTCCCCTTCAGGATCAAGAAGCTGTCCCAAACCAGTTTTTATGGCAAGTAGCTCACATGAGAACGAACGAGTAAAAATGTGCTTATTTCCTGCCGAGCGAGCTTTATGAATGTGCGTGGGTCACTTGAATTTGTCGCATTAAAAACTCGCGCGGTCTGGGTTTATATACTTATAATATAAATGAATGGAAATATATAAAGTGAATCTTATTTTGAACTACGAATAAGTATAGGAAAGTGGAAATGATCCTTGCATTTGTAAACAACCGTAGCTGCTTAAAAACAACTTGAAAAATTCAGGCTAGTCCGGGAATCGAACCCTGACCTTTGACCGGGTGCATCGAAAAGGTCATGGTTCGATTCTCGGTCAAGCCTGAATCTTTTTTCAGGTTCTTTTTCAACCGCAGCCTTGGTTGTTTATTCAACTGCGAGGATCATTTCCACTTAAATATACTTATAAATATGGGGTTGGGTGGTCTGGCGATTAACTCGTCGGTACTTAGCAGTGAAGAAACTAGGGAGCTTAAGCAACCACGACGGCAACGGCTGCGAAAACGTCACTTAAAAAGTGAAGTCACGCTGCCTCAAACTTTATCGCGCTTAGCAAATTTCTTTGGAGTTGAATTCTAAAGGATTGTATCAAAACTCATGAAAAGAAAAAGAAAATTGTTGTTTTGTGTTCCCGTCCTCGACAAAATGTGAGAATAGGCACTTTCACGTTGTAGTCGCGCAACGAAATGTACATAAAAGTGTGATGCACGTGCAAGGTTGTTATTTTTTCAAGCTAAAGGTGATGTTACACGAGACGATTCGCAACGACAATTTTTAGCGCAACACAGCGTTTCAGCATTGTTGTATGTCGTTTCACATTGTTACAACGTTGTTCCAACATTACATCGCCGAGTTGCGCTAAACATCGTCGTTTCAAATCGTCCCGCTCGTTGCCGTCGCCGTCGCTGTTGCTTAATCTCCCTTTTATCTTGTACCTATGAATACGGCGGAAGTATTTAACCATGGAGTTGCCAGGCTCATTCCTTCTTTAAGTACCATTCTTCGCAACGATGACACCATGGCAGTTGAAGGCGAGATGAAAGTCGGCAAAGTCTATCTACAAAATCCAACTTGAATGTGCAAATAGGCCACTTGCACCAAGAGGTCACGTGACCAATGCTTCCTTTAAACAATGAGTTGGAGTCTTGCTAATGCGAAAAATTGACAGAGTACATAAAAATTATATAACACTCGAAATTTGAGAGGAGACGCATTTAAGGGAGATATTTCAACAAAGTAGTATGATTTGTATCGGCCGCCATGTTGGAAACTACTTTTTGCTTTTATCTTGTTAAACGTTTGATAGTTACGCTCAGTTGTGTTGTAAACGTTACCACATTATCTTTTCAACATTTTCATTGACGTTTAAGTGTAAAATTTGCGTTCAGAAAGAGGTAATTCATAATTTTAGTCACGTGACCAGCTACGAACTTACTCATTTTAAGAAAATGGTGCAGGTCTGAAAAACCAAATCACTATTGTTTTGTTTAAGATATGACCCACTAATCGTTTTTCGAGGGCAAAATCATATAACTTTCATTTTCATAGAAACGATGTCACATGACCTCTTAGTGCAAATGGCCTATTCTATCGTATCTCATCAGCTGAGATATAAAGTCTGTAGTATAAATGTATCTGTTTTCCTAATGTCATTTTTCAATGTCGTTATAGGAAGCAACGGGCCCCAGAAATTTTGCATTGAAAAGGTTGGCAAGGAAACGTGGCTGCCACGCAGTCATACATGGCAAGTATCCTCTAACTCAGTAAACTCCTAAAGAATTTCTTCAGTCTGATTTTGTTACAAACACTTGACGATTTCTCACGCGCTAATTGATTGAGAGCTGCGAACTATGAGAGAATAGACCGTGAAAATGACGCGTGATGCGCAATTTTTTCTTTTGTCTCTCACGCAAGATTTTCTAAGATACTTTGCAAGAAATTCACGTTATAACTGTGTTATTGTAAAAAAACAAATGTACAACAATTCTCCATAGTCTATACTCGTTTCAGGGCTCAAAATAACTGCCGCTCAACGGACAATGTCTGGCCAAGATAACCATTTTTTCGGACAGTTGGCCGGTCATTTTGACCCACGACTTTCAAGTAAATAGCTAGAAAAATACATTTCTTCACATTAATTCTGGAAATTTCAAAAACTGTTAAAAAGTACAGATGGCACGCCTACGTTTTGCGGCTCCGCGAATCCTACTGAGCATTTGTCAAAAATAAAATTCAAGCATTCATTCATACACTTCATTCAAACACGGTAAAAACAGTTACTGTTATAGGACAATTAAAATAGTTAAACTGGTTTACATGTTTGCCGTGTGGGAGTACGAGGGGGGACATTTGGCAATTGGTTACATTTTTAAACGTAGTAAAAGATGTGGTCTCTCTGGCATCGTGGGGAAGGCTATTCCACAAATGGGCCCCACTGTAGCAGATACTTCGTGGTTCGTACGTGAGGGAATTCGAGTTATCACACAAAAAGTAGAGTTTTGAACATAAATGTCAATCCCATGCACACATTTTGCACACGAAGATGTTGTACTTTTCCCTTTTTACAGTTCGTACGTGAAAGAACGCAAATTGTTCACGAGAAAATTTGCTCAAACGATTTTAAGAAACCCTTTTCGAACATCTGCAACTAAATTATGCTTCATGCACCGTAAAGGTTGATAGCCTAACCACATTTGCTTCCAAGAAAATGTTCAAACTGCCGAAATATATTTCTACTCATCTCATGTTATTCCACTTATTGAAACAATCTTTAATTATTTTGTCAACTGGTTCTTCCAATGTTATTCCCTAACACTAGTGTTTCTACTAAAGTTGGGCATCTCTACTAAGCAACTAGGTAAATCTAATACGCTTTAAAAAGGACAATCACATGACTTTTGTTGGGAATATAGTTTATTTGTAGCCCGAGTAGCATCATTTGCGCCCCGAGCGGAAGGAAAGATTGTTTAACATGAAATCATGTTGCGGACTGCAAATTCTGTTTACAGCCCGCACTTTGCCGTTTGGCTCGCGAAAAGGAGCGTTTTAGAGAGGGGAGTTTGTCATTTGGTCGCGTGTAGTGATAATAATAGGCCATTTGCACGATGGCGTCATTTTACTACTACGACCAGAATTCTTTTCGTTTTTCCTTTGATATGTAAATTTGGTAGCCCCGGTGGGGTTTAAATAACAAAAGCCCTAATTTGTACAAGAAAGCAAAACCCTCAAGGATCCTGGTCATAGTAGTAAAATGACGCCATCATGCAAATGTCCCATTGCTATTATGACTTTTAAAGGCAGCAAGCGTGTGTGACGTGGTTGCACTTAAAGGGAACCTCCACTCTTACTACAGAACAAGTTTAAATCGAATAAAATTTTGTTGATAAACAAATTTGTTCGAAATTTGTCTTAAAAAAAGTGTTTATATCAGGAAAGGTGAATTTTAAAATCGCTTATTTTCACTTTCAAATTTCGCGGGCGCCGCCATCTTGAATAATTGTGACGTGTTACGGTTGCTCTATTGTTCTGACACAAAGAGCTTTTGTTTAATAACAATAGGGCAACCATTACACGTCACAATTATTCAAGATGACGACGCCCGCAAAATTTGAAAACAAAAATAGGCGAATCTAAAAGTTATTTCTTTCGGATACAAACGCTTTCTTTAAAAATATTTTAGATTGACTTGACTGTAACAGTTATTTCCTGTGATTTAAAGTTATCTTTTTGTTGAAGCGGAGGTTCCCTTTAATTTGTTGGAAAGTAAAAGATCTGATGAAATTTTAATGCGAGAGAATAAAGCTTTTTTACACTTCTCTGTGCAGCTTTTTAAAACAATCAGCTTCTAGAACCAGAATTACGCCGCATTCTTCCGAGTTAAAGTCTATGTCGAAATATCAATTATTATTATCACTACACGCGGCCAAATACAAACTACCCTTTCTAAAACGCTCCTTTTCGCGGGCCAAACGGCATAAGTGCGGGCTGTTAATGGAATTTGCCGCCTTCAACATGACTTCATGTGAGACAATCGTTCCTTATGAAATAAATTTGTCCTATTTGGCCTTGTGTAGTGATAATTAAGATAATCACATGACTTTTGGAGGGAACATAGTTTATTGGGTCTCTCGTAGCATCATTTGCACCCTCGTTCTGCTCGGGCGCAAATGATGCTACTCGGGTCACGAATGAACTATATGCCCTCCCAAAAGTCCGTAAGTGATTCTCCTATTAACGTTTCATTTGAAGACCTTTGAAAAATATGTGAGTTTTATACTCTGCCTTGAAGGAGGTGAACAGAACTCGTAAGCTATGAAATACATGCGTTGTACCGTTAGCCGCATAACCGAAATAGGCCATAAATGTCTTGAAACAGCGCCCATACTAAACCTCGAACCCTTAAACAGTTGCATTACTGTGCTCAATATTTGAATCATGACGATATCCTTCTAAACACGTTCAGTCGTAATAAATGACGAAAAAAATGTGAAGAACCAAGGTGGCGATCTCAAATTGTCTTTGCCCGTTTGTTCTTTAACAGTGTCGTGTTTAGTTGCCAAAATCTCGTCGGTTCCTAACATCAACTCATAGTACCTCCACCCTGCAATACGCATACGAACAAAGATACAAAGCTCGGACCACTGTCATAGAATCTACTTTTTTTCAAAATAGCTCAAAAAAAAGAAAATTTCGTGTGTGTCGCGTTTAATTATCTTAAAAATCATGAAAAGGATAATAATTAAATTCTCTGACTATTAGGTGAACAATGTTTCTTTACATTTTTCTCATTTCGCAAGTGTAACGAGTTTTTGAGCATACGAGGCGATACTTTTTTCTTAATTGGTGATTACTTTTTTAAAATAAATATTTTCTTCATTTTTACCAGCCATGACCGAGCCAAAACCTCTTTGGCCGGTCGTTATTTGACAGGTCGGAAACGAGCCATGGCCGAGCTAAAATTTGTTCGGCTGGTCGTATTTTGACCGGTCTGAGAAACGAGCCATGACCGAGCTAAAATTTGCTTGTCCGGTCAACATGACCGGCTACTGTCGGAAAATTATTTTGAGACCTGCGTTTAGACGGCAGAATTTTACAGTGCAAACCGGCACTCGTCCACTTGAGTATAGAGAGTATAGGCCTTGGGAAATTACTCTCTATTTAACAATTATGCATGTGTTTCATGTCATTATACGTAAATCATAGCTGAAAGTAGAATTTCACCCTTACATCTTTGTTTTGTTTGAAGTCATTGTCTTGAAGAATGAGGAATGTATGAAATTTAGTTGAGAACCTTGATTGACTGGAGGCATCACTGGAAAAAAAAACTTGATGTAGTGTTGTTGTTTTTTTTTTTTCAGTTTCAACCGCCTGGATCTTCCTCCATACAAGAGCTACGAACAGTTAGTGGAAAAACTAACTTTTGCAATAGAAGAAACGGAAGGTTTTGCTCAGGAGTAAAGTTTAACAATGAAACACCGCCCTGATCAAGCTGTTTTATAGTAAACATATTGTGGCGTCTCTTTTCGTGGCTTGTTCTGAAACAAGGCGTTTTCACCAACGTGTTTGTGGCATAAACTAAGAAAGCGCAAGCATTGCACGTGTAGAAGTAAAGCCGTGCTCATACACCCTCGCCAAATCGCCTGCCATGTAGGCAGGCTAGAAAACTGCCAAAATTCATGCTAAATATTACACTTTAGCGGAGTGTCGGCGCGGTCCATTAGCCTAGGGAAGTTGTAAAAGTGTTCAAAATGTCCTTGATAACGGTTTATGACGCACGCAAAAATATCTTAATTCTGATTCTCAAAATTAAATGGCGTTTATTTTCGGCTGTAGCTTTCTTTTTAATGGTGTAAATGAAAATAATGGTGATGGTTAATTTGTGACACCCTCACCTCAGTGTAATAAGAAGAATTTAAGTACAAAATAACGTGTAAAGTTAAAGTTGATTAAAGCAATAAACCCTGGCGTGTTAGTTGATGATATTAACCAGCACGTGCCACTTGTTTTTGTGATACTCAATTGATCATTTGGTCTCTACCATCGATGGTCTTTATTCTGTTTTTTAAAAGCGTAGAATACTAATTGTTTCGTTGATAATTTGATCAAATTAGAAAAAAATACGTGCCTCAGTCAAAAGGTAACTCATCCTAATCGTATTCGTTGAGAAAAATGCCAAAGGTAAACCCTAAAAAACGTCCGCGTTTACCCTTATTGATTATCATCGACTTAGAAATCTATTGTTTGGATTTTTCTTACTATCGATATAACACGCCAGTTATTACCCTAGGGAACTTAGTTTGTTGATTAGTTCATTTTGGAAAGTTCCTCTGTGACATTCGTTCTTGTTAAATTCAAGTTCAGCGAGGAGGATATCATTCTTCTTGAGGTAGATCTTTGAGAAAGAATTTGAGGTAGACTATTAATTTGTCTCCCTCTCAATATTAAGGAAAGTCTTGGCAAATCGTAATGTGATTACATTCAAAGATGGGTTTGGTGTTAGTAATGAGCACATTTGAATGTATTAAAAAGAACTCAGGGACAACAAAGGCATATGTTTTTATTTATGTGTAGTTAGTATGCGTTATTGTATTACATGTACCCAAGAACCCAGGCATACAAGTGCTCCAGAAGCAGGGGAAATAAGCTTTTGCGCTTTCTTGGGCGTGATAGTCTCCTTGAGCGCCTACTACTTAAGAGCCTATGACTGTAAATATCGAGAATCGCTGGCCAGGCTAAAAAAACGAAAATTCTGATAATTTGTCAGAAAAACCCCTTTGGGGAACTATCTTCGAAAAAAATGTTTTCAACTTTCAAGAATCTGTAGTTTTCGAGAAAATGAAGAAAAACGAAAATAGCGGTTTTTGCCTAATTAATTATGCAAAAATTAGAGTAAAAATGACCTACTTCATCGCGTCTGTACCGAGGCAAGATTCAAAGTTCAGGGCGGAAAAACGTTCTGCGCAAGCTTCTGCGCATCCCTTATTGCAGGCTCAAGGCGGGCTTTTCTGTGTGTTGATTGTGTTCGTTTGAGCAGGGCTGAAAAACGACTGCGCATGTGCTGTGGCATGCGGCAAAAAACGCAGGCTCAGCCGCGCGCTCATTCAAAATGACTCCAGTTTCGCGGGAAATAAACAGACGGCATTTAAATTGAAAAAATAAGGTCACAGTTGAAAAGATAAGGGTTTAAACAACAGTTTTGAGAAGAAAAAACATTTTCCTTAAAATCTAGTGAGTGTAGAAATTTTGAAAAAATTGTTTTCGCGCCGAAAACGGCCATTCGCGTGATCTTTAAGTGAAGTTGCGAACCCGGCTAATTAGTGAAAATTATCGGCGATGTTTACAACACCTTGTTGGCTTTTTATTGTCATTTTGCCGTCTGTTTTTGGGTGTTGGTTTTCTGGTAGAACCAGAAACTCGAAAGAGGATTGTTATGGCCCTAGCAAACCCTTACCACCAGGGTTAGCGAGAGCAGCAGAGTTGCCGGAACACACCATTGTTTGCCTCAGACATCTGCGGATGATCGAGAGCCAAGACAATCGGTGCTCTGCACCCTTTCAAGAGAAGCACTCAAAGAAACTTACAGAGATTCCAGCGACACATTATGGAATTATTGATAATTACGGCCGAAAAAACGAAAACTTCCGACCAGGGAGCAAGTGGTGCCATGCTTGTAAAAGGAAGTTTTACAAAAAAACAGAAGGAGAAAGTGGTATGGTAAGAAGAAAACGAAGTAAGGTAAATATTGGCAATTCCCTGGTTAGTTTGCATTTACATTTTATCAAGTCAGTAACAAGTACTCACTTTCCCTAACATGTTCTTGTTACATTCTTTATAGAAAATGGATATGATGACCAGTTTAACGGAAAAGGAGACAGAGTTTTACCAACTTTACCAAAAGGAGGCTGAAAAATGTCACACCCTGACAACACAAATGGAGATGCTGAAACAACAGCTCTCAGGAATAACAGGTTTTATTAATTTACTTTGCATTGCTGCAATTAAATTTTACATCCCTCAACTATTTTGCATTTCCCATAAAACACATTTTGTATTAAACGGTTGGGTTCCTTTATTTTAGAATCAACAATTGACAAGAAGTTAGAGGAATTTCAAAAGGCCCTTTACAGGCACCAAGTTACCACACCTGACATAAAGATTTATGATACAGATTCCATGAAACAGTTTGTGAATAAAAACAGCCCCGGACTCTTTCAAGATCTTCTTACCTGTGTTACAGGAGGTAAAAGCCTGTCTGAGAACAGAAGAAAGCTGCAAGAGCAGAGAGTAGTGGCTTTACTTCACATCCTGGCTTATTTTAGGTATGTACTTTGAGTTTAGTGATCTGGGATATAATTTTGCACACAGTCATTTATAACTGGTATAATAACATTTGTTTTATTTGTCACAGATCACAAAAAACGTCTGCCCTACAGAAGGACAGCGGACTGCATGCATCCAACTGTGGCATGTCATTACGGGGACTATCTTCTGGCCAGGTGTTGGGATACAGCACAACCCCCAGGACAATACAGCAGTTAAAAGCTAATTTAAGTGCACAACACACAAGCTTCATTTGTCAACAATTTCACAGGGTAAATGAGGTGAGTCCCTTGGGTGAAAATATATCTAATATCTAACAGTTGTGTACCAATTGCCCAAGAAAAAGCTTTGAAACAAAGAGAATCATCATGAAATCTCCTCATACAGTAAATAACATTAACACAACAGTTTATGTGTGTTGTGTTTAATTTTGCTTTTTGTCTTTCTTAACAGCTGCAATGCTTTATAGTTTTAATGCTTGATGACTTCCACAACATCCACTCACTCCATACACCATCACAGTTGGTACGGACAAATGTCATTCACATGGCATCCTGTTTGGCAGATGTTCATCCATCAGTTCATGCAGTCCCTAGGCCTGCATTTCCCTTACACAGACAAGTGACAATAAATGTAAATGGAGAGCAGAGGACCTGTGCTGCTGGAATTGACATTAATGATGTCCTGCAAACAATAACAAACTCATTAAGGAATATGAATAAACAGTTCTGGGACCAGCTACCAAGTTACATGCAAAGCCTTGATCCAGGAAGACTACAAACAGCACTACATGAACTAAGGTACACATTAGTCTTATTTGTTACCCATTTATCACAGAAAAATGTCTATTACAAAAGAGAAAGACAACAGGTTAACAGCAAAAAAAAATTGACTTAATAATTGCAATGAAATTGTAAATATCTGTAATGTCTGTCTGTTGAACAGGGTGTACTCAGATCCAACAACACAAGACATTGAGACGCTCGAGACTTGTATGCTAGTTGATGAGTTTCAACAAGATTTAAAGAGCACGGAACATTACAAGATGGCCCTTGAACGTGTACTGAACAAATGCCCTCAACTTAACCTGTACAGCAAGAAATTTGTTGTACCATTGCCTGCTGACTGGCCAGGGTGGTACTATCCCAAAAAGCTGATAGCAAGTGGATGGAATCCCAACATTAGCATAATTCCAGAACAAGGGCCATTTCATGTGTGTCTGAATGCTTATGAAGACGTTCTTTTGAATTTTAAATTTTTTTTTGACAAACTGTTTTCGTATGTTTTTGGAGGTACTTTGGCATCGAAACCCAAACCATACCAGACATCCCTGTGTGTTACTGCTGCCTTACTTGGTTGGCAACTGATACGACAAAAGGTACTGGAAAAGTTTGGAAAGTGCAAGCAACATGAATTTGTCACCATTCTACACTTGCTTGAACATGTTTTGCCCCTTGTGTTCTACCAGTATAACATTTTCAGAAGTGGTGACTTAAAGTTGTATGAGAAAGTTATGGCACAAATAGCTATAATTTTCATATGCTGGAAAAGGAGACATTATGACAAATCAACCTTGTCATTTTTGAGTGATTGTGCATACCAGTGCAAACATCTTCCAGAATACTGGTCAAAGAAGGCAAGTGTTCTCAAACTGATCACAGAAAAGAAGGTTGAAGTTTGGCACTCTGTACTGCGAAGAAACACTGAGAAGTTTGACGATGCAAAAAGCATTGAAGACACAGCAAAGTCTATCGCATCATCAGGTTTTTTAAATGACTTTATACAGTCCTTTGTTCCTCAATACCACCGCGGTCATGCTGAACCAAACTTATGGCTTATCGCAGGGAAGACAGCAGAATTCTTACTTGAACTGTTTAGGAATGTCTCAAGAAACTGTCAGAAATCACACCAGGTAACACTCCTAAGGCAAAAACATATCACAAATAATTATTTATAATTATTACATTGTTTCTGGCAAGTAAATACAGTGAACTATAAAGTTTTAAAGGTGCCCATAACACAGGTACCATACGGCTTGATAAGGAACTGGCCCTATGTTCTTAATAACTGAAAAAGAGATGACACTGACATTACTTCATCTGAAAAGTAATTATCAGTTTTTGCTCTAATAATCAAAA